CTTACTATATGAAGACACACCAGGCCTACCAATCACGTCAACATTTGCAGTTAATTAGAAAATATTAAGTATCAAAAAACTACACCTTAAATTGCAAAGTGGAACTAGTTTAGGTGGTTAGGGAATTAATGAGAATATTTTTGAAAATCTGTTTTTATAAAATAATGAAGCTTTTAAAATCCTGAAGTTACATAAAGTATAATATGATGTGTAATGATGAACAAATGGTTACTTGGGTTGTGAAAATTTCAAAATGTCAATGGACTATCAACCAGTTTAAAACAGATACAAGGAGTTTATGTCCACCATTTCCAACTGTACAGTTTCCTCTCAGACCTGTGTATTAATAAATGTCTCTCAGAATGCTCGCCCCTAAAAGCTGACGGTGAAAGAACTTCCACTTTCTCTCTTTAACTCAGTGCATGTGAATACCTTTCTCATTTCATGTTTCTCCACTTGCCTGAAGATGGCATTGGTGTTTTCATATTTCTTCTTTTCTGACCCGTTTGTGAATGAGGTATTTTTCTCAGTCTTACTGTTAAAACTTGTAGCAGGAACTCAAAACTTGGTTATGTAAGCAGAAAAGAGAAGTGCCAGAGCCACTGAGAAGAAGGCATGCCGCGTTGCTTACTTAAATCCCCATCCTGTGCCCCCAAGGACAATAGCTGCTACCAGGATGGCACCAGCGATGGAGCCTATTATGAGATTGGTGGCACTAGGACCTGTGACAAAGGATCATGGGAAGAAAGTCATATGAGCCAACCACTTTCGTTACCACAAGGGAAAGGCAGTTGAAGGGTTTCAGGAAGTCAATACCCTGCATAAAAGATTGCTAAACACATAAATCACCTTTTTGACTTAGCTTAATTTCACTTTCCACACTGTGGATAACAACTGCTGGGGGCTGAATGCCTTTACATCTGCAGCTTCTGCACCACTGACAATTAAGTTCCATTAAATCCACCTTTCGCTGAATTTGAAGCAAATAGGCGCCAATGGCTGTCATTGCACATCTTTCGACTCCTCCCCTTTCCCAATACCTCAAATCAAACGAGTCAAAGAGCGCAAAAAGAACGCGATTGCATTAGAATTAGCTCAATCTGCTGGCAAACGAGGGCATGAAAAGAAGGAACTATTCTACTGAAGTGTTCTTTCAAGCAACCCATAAAATTATCTGAATGCTACAGGTTTTATGCCCCACGGGGAGACAGTTAAAATTCAGAAGTCAGAAGAAGGTTACCAATAAAGATCTGGCTTGGAAGTCTAGTTCTCAAAGATATATTTCTTCACAGCACAGATCCAGGCAGTGTTCAAACAGCAGCATGGGCTTCCAGAGGCAAGATATAAAGAACGTGTAAAACTTACTGGGTAATTTTGGGGAAATGGAAAAAAGAAAGTGGAATTCCCTGTTTGAGGAAGAGTTGGCATTACCGTGTATTCTCTCCACTCATATAGCAAACACCTGGGCTCCCTCTTTTTACAGGTAAGCAACATTCACGTTAGTATGAGAATTATTTTAAGTATCACATCATACAGGATGCTAATATGCAGGTACAGCGCCCTATGCCCCTGTTCCCAAGGTCACAGGGCCCATTTTGCTAGCTCCCCTGGAATCCTCCTCAGGTTTGTGTGTGCATTCATTGCCGTGTAAAAGATTCTCTTTTCTGCTCACATCAGTGCCCTGGACTGTGTACATAAATGGATGCCACTTTCAGCAGCCATGAAATTGTCTTTTCACTCAGAGACCCCCGGTGTTTGCGTAATGGGGGTTACAATGGACATCTCAGGGATGAGGTCTCTTGGGGCTCCCAGGTTTGGACACACCCTTAAGACTAACCACTGAGGTTCTAGAGAACAGAAATCTCAGTGGCCTTTAGAGATACAGCCAAAATAACCTAATTAGAAAAAGCCACTGGCTGTAATGCCGGAATGACCAAACGACGGGCCACCAGGAGGTGCACTGATGGGTCCTGCAACCAAGGTGGAAGGAGGGATTCTGGGTCCCACAGCAGCGGCAGGAGGGACTCTGGGTCTCACATGATTTCATGCACTGGGCCTCTAGTAAATAATAATGAGAGCCGCAAAAGCTGGTTAACTACGATTCACTGTCCTGACGATGTGGGTGCACTTTTAAGCACTTGGCATTATTATCTCATCTGATCCTCACCAAACCCTAAGAGGTAGGAACTATGACTAGCCCTGTTTAACAGATGGAAAAATAGAGGCTTCTAGAAGTCAATACGTGACAGAGGCAAGATTTGAACCCAGATGTGTTTGACTCTAAAGCTTATAGGATACTCCAAGGGGCAGCAAACTACAGACCATGAGCCAAATCTGGCCCTGCTGACTGTTTTTTCAAAGAAGCTTTACTGGGACACAGCTAATTCATCCCCATGCGGTTTACAGCTGCTTTTAGGCTAAGAGAGCAAAGTCACAAGGTTGGGACAGACATCCTGTCGCCGGCAAAGCCAAAACTATTTACCATCTGCCCTGTTACAGAGTTTGCTAACCTCTCCACTAAAGCAACACCATTCCATGTATACGTGTTTCCTCCGCAGAGCTTAATAGGGACTCAAATATTAAAACACTTAAAAAATATTTATATTACCGTGTACAGAATGTATGCCTTAGACACGATTTGCACCTTACTGGCTCAGAAAACAGGCTGGAATTAGAATCAATACATAACCACTGAGAATTAATTCCTGATTTACAACGATAAACTAAGGAGTAGGCACAAAAGCAAAACAAGTCTTTGGAATCCTTAGGGATGAAATGACATTACACTGCCGGTCAAACTAATAGGCATCAAGACTACTTTGTAAAAAATAAATAAATAAATAAATAAAATAAAAAGCCGAAACCGGTTTGGCTCAGCGGTAGAGCATCGGTCTGTGGACTGAAAAGTCCCTGGTTCGATTCCGGTCAAGGGCATGTACCTTGGTTGCGGGCACACCCTGGTAGGGGGTGTGCAAGAGGCAACTGGTCGATGTTTCCCTCTCATCAACATTTCTAGATCTCTATCTCTCTCCCTTCTCTGTAAAAAAATCAATAAAATATATTAAAAAAAAAAGACTACCTTGTACTATGTGGATTTTATTTTACTTTTTAACTAGTATTTACTATTTACTAAATTTAACTGTATTTGCTATTTTAGCAACTCTGGCAAAATTTAGAATTTAAAGGGAAAAAATCAGTAAACTAATAGACAACAACAGTGTATACACCAAGAATAATAACATCTATGTTTAGAAATCTATATATATATATATACACACGTATACAGACTTACCTGTCACAACCAGAAATAGCCACAAGCCAACACTGGCAGGGAAGGAGGACAAGGACTGTGCCTTACCACAAAGCTCCCGGGTCCTGCCTAGCTCTAAGACTCAAAGGGAACATTATTAAAGTTCACCCCTTCCATTAGCACAGTCAATAAATTACATTTTTTTAAAAATGGAATTGGAATGATTTTTTAAAAACGACCTTTCTTCCCAAGGAGGAATTTCACATCAATGTGTGTGTGGAATTTCCCCCTGGGAATGGAATGTTCCTTCTACATCTAATCCAGTCAACAGACCCAGGTGAAGTTTTCTAGAAGTTTGTTTTCTAGAAATATTTTACTTCCCATAAACTTTTCTTTCTAACAGAGATGGAGAAACAAAATATTTTTTCAAAAACTTCTAGCTTCCCCGGGGTTAATTAGCTTCAGAGTCCATATGGATGGGATTACAATATCCAAGTGTAGTCAAGATCCAAGTCTAGCCAAAGCCCTTCAACTCAGGTGAGATTTAGGGAATCAACACCACCTGGGACCTACGGACCTCCCTCTTCATGCTATTTCTTTCCAGCCCCGGGCCTCCCAGACCCAGGCTGAAAGGAGAACATCTGTGAGCTGCCACCAATGGGACTAAGGAGAAATGTGAGTGATGTTCTCAAGGTGCCTATGGTTTGGTCTGATTGAGTGCCGGTTGCCTGGTGATCCCTGAAGACACTAGCAATCTGTTCCTGGGCCACTGTGAGTGTCAGCATCACCACAGTGAGCAGAAAAGACAGCATGTCAAGGAGTGTTTTTGTAACTTGAAAAGGCTCTCCCTGAAATTAGAGGGGGGGAAAAACCACAATAATCTTTTAGTCTACATGTACATTGGCAATCTCATGGAAGCAATAGCCCATGGAGAACTGACAGCTATTCTGAAGATACAGATCAAGTGCACAGCAACCTAAATAGAGGCACCTGGAGAGCTCAGTGGGCGAGGGCATGCAGGCCACAGATTTATACTCTGGCTCCTCAACAGACAAACCCACCAGGTGTTTTGCAACTGTTCCCTTAAAGTTTTGCAAGTTTGGATTAAATGTCTCTTCATTCTTAATGCTGTTTGCTCCCAAATACTTATGTAAATATTAAGTTGGAATTATTAACCTATTTTATTAAAAAAAAAAAAAAAAAGAGGCAATGTCCTAAATATGTTTCCTTGTAAATACAAGCTGAGCTTCCTTTAGCCCTCACAATCAACGGAGAAAATGTTAGTGGCTATCATTCAGATTACCCTTAAAAATATCTACAGTTGTTGATAATTCCTAATTGTATAAGTGAATCTATTTGACTGGTGATGATTCAATTAATCATCAGAGTCCTAATAAAACACTTCTATAAAAAACATTTTTGCCAATAAATAGTAAAAAAAAAAAAAAAAAAAGTCTGTATCTTAGCATTACTTTGCAAGTGGAGGAGCAATGGAAGCTTCTGGACCCTGGCCTTCACGGTGAAGACATCATCAGCACCCAGGATTACATCATGCCCCACATTGTTCCAGACAGGAGAAGGTTCTCCACGACACAAGACAACCACACGACACAAACACGTCCAAATCACAGCACAAATAGCACCATCACGGGCAACACATCGACGAGACAACACGGGGAGTCAGGGATTGAGGTCAGCTCACACACTGGGGACCAAACGGAAACACTCTGAAACTCAAAAAGATGCTTACTCTATTCCCCACCCCGTGCCTCCAAAAATCACCCCCAGGGCCAGAATGGTGCCTGCCACAGCGCCTATTAGCCTGCTTGTGGCCAGGTTCACTGTGTGGAGGGAAAAACGGAGATTTTTTAAAAAATAAAACAAATAAAAAATATTTGATCACACTGATTTCACTAACGAACAAAATCATCTATTCAGGAAGTGCTTTGAAAGTCAGTTATATATTAAATTGTTTTTGCTTATTAAGCTCTACATACACACTGAAAATATTCAAGGATAATCTTGTATTTACATTCCAATTCCAAAAACTGTAGTTAAATATATAATGTCTTACACTTTTACACAAAGAAATAAGCCAATTGGAATGAAGTGGAATGAAGTGAAATTAAAATGTAATTTAAACTGCCAAGCAACAAATCTGTTTTCTAATTCAAAAGTTATAAACCATTAGTATACTTTTTTAAGACTCCTAAAACTATAAAATATGCCTAAGAAGCTATTATTTTTTTAAATCTAAAACCTACTCAATTCTGTGGAAATCCTTACATGTTTAAAAGGAAAGTACCTTTAAAATTAAATGCATCGTTACCAGGGAAGTTATTTTACCTGGAAAAGTATATTTCAAATAACTCCGCAATGTTTGTGTTTCTGCCACAGTATTTGGACATCCAGATTTTTGTTTATAGTCTGCAGTGGATAAACTTTGCACTGAGAGGAAGTAAGGGTCTCTGGCAAAGTGTATTCATTGCTTCAAACTATGGAGTAGTCAATTACTGAGGAGACACTCAATACCTGCACATCACTGCTTCTGTGTACAGCGTTCGTTGTAAAATGGGACTGGAATGAGCCCAAGTTCCTAAGGTTCTCTCTGCACAGGCAAAGAGTTGTTTAGTGTTGAAGTAGGAAGGCAGAATATTTATGGTTGAGTGTGTCTGTGCATCTGTATGTGCCTGCAAACGGGACATATAAGCACTTGATCTCACATTCCAAGGGAATCACAAGTACTGGCTTCATATCACTTCGTCAATGAAAACAGACATTAGCTTCTACAAGGCTGCATTCACACAGACTGTGCCATGAAACAAGCAAGAACCACAACTGGAAGTTGCAAGTTCTTACTAGTAAGGCTTAACATTGGGATCACTGACCTTTTTAGCTAAATATTCTCCCAAAGGATCTGGAGAAAACCTTAGATCTCTAACTGCACAATTGCTTTATTTACCATAGGGCAAATCATATGAGTGAGAGATTCTAGTTTCATCATTAACTAAGTTCAACCTGAGTTGTTCTCGAAAACAAAACAAAACAAAAAAGATGGGAGCACAACAGAAAACATAGGGAGGCTATTACTGAGAGCACGGAGGGGAAAGGAAAAAAAGACCAACATCTACGGTGGTAATTTTTTCCAAATGTGGCAATACATAATACAAAATAACCTAAACGCTAGCTCAGATTTCCAAATTGTAGAGGCAAATACTGGGATAAAAGCTATGCCAGATATAATGCCTCAATTCTTTTAAGACCTTAGAAAATCACTGCTTTCAGAATACTAAATTAACTAGGATATATATATATATAAATAATTATTTTATTAAGTTTTAGGCATTGGTTCTCAAAATACACAAGAGTCCTATTAACTCTTCAATCTTTATATAAGCCACATGCAAAATTATAGGAAACACACTCCTGTGAAATGTGATGCTGAGTAAAAATTTGTTAATATTTTTAAAATTATAGTAACTATGAATGATGAAAATAACTAGTAAGGCTTTTATATTTGCTAAGGACGTGATTTATTACTGCTGAATCAAGAGAATAAGGCAATTCACCATGTAAGTGTTAAACACAATGAGAGGAACAAGATATTTCTACAGATGCTTCAAATACGCACCCAAAAGAAATAGTGTTTAACCTCCACTGATCAAGAATAATCATTTCCAAATTCTTAACTGATAAGTAGGTATCCGTAGCACCAAAGCGAGATAAAAGTGGGAAAAATAGCTTTTTCAAAAGTATCCTCTCCCCTCCTTGTTCTCCCTGCCTCCCGTGACTTTAAAATCTACTAACTTGAAAACATATAAACTCCATTTAATTCTTTATCAGGATACTTAGCAGAGTAATCTCTTCAGTTTGTAGTTTCTCAATCTGTTTTCAAACTGACATGGACGAATGGCGTGGCTCACAGCTGGGTAGGTTTTGACAGGGGCCATACTTGTATGCTTAGGTCTCAGCACTTCTGCACAAAGAACTTACCATCTCATCGGAAAGAAATTCCTTGGACCTTTGGAGACCTATACTCTGGTTTTCTGTACTAATTTACTTCTTATGTAACTGTATTTGTTCATTCATTCACTCACTCATTCATTCAGTCTCTACTACATGCCTTTTTCTCCCAGCAACTATGCTGGGCGCCAACCTTCAACCCACCAACTCTGAAGATGGGATTCTTCAAGATTCTAGCCAATAACACACTCAGCACATCAGGAACTGAACTTTGCTCCCTAACTCTTAGACACACTTACCTCTCATTGTAACTTGATTGACTGTGGAAACTGTTTATTACCTAGCATTAGGTTTTCATGTTTGTTTACTTATTTCTGTTGTTTGTTGGTTTTTATTATCACTTTTAGTCGTGGCCCTGCTATCTAGGTTCATAGGTGCTAAAAGGTAGACTTTTTGAGAAGTATATAGTATCGAGAATAAAACTATGACTTTTCTTTTTTCAAAGAATTTCTATTGGATATGTGGAAGTCTTCCACAGATAGGGCATGCTTCAGACATTTTGATATTTTGAATGGTTGTTTTTGTTTTTTGTTTTTTTCCTTTTCTTACTTTTAGAGAGATTCTGAAACAGAAAGGTGCATTATTTAGTTCATATGATTCCAATGAGCCAAAAGGAGCTATAATCCTACATCCCTTAATACTTAAAAGACCGGAGGCATCATGAAATCGTTTATACTCTGTGGACCAAAGTTCTTTATCATTTTCCTAAAATTTAAGATTAGAAATAAATACCAAATGTACTCTTTATATCTTAGAGTATCATATTGGCATGACAAATAGATATTTTATCTAGTACCATATTTCAGTATGTCAGACATACACTCAAATCCTCTCACTCTTTTCCAGAAAATAATAATAATAATAATAATAATAATAATAATAATAATTGATACATTCATTTTGGAATACACAGGGACAAATATCTAAAGGAATGAAAAATAAATTAATTTATATAAGAATATTAATTCAGTCAATTTAGCTGTCAATAAAAATATCATGGCATTTTTCTGAACCCAAACAAAAATAAAACTCAGAGTTATTGAATAAAATTAAAATTTGTTAAACCCTTATGTTAATGATGAGGCTATTGTTAGTGAAAAAAATACCTAAGTGAGATATAAATACACATGAGCATAATCACATGATAACCATAACATCTCATATAAAATCACAGATTTGTACACTCACAAAGAAACTCAACTTTTAAAAAGACATATGCAAAAGGTAAATATTAACTAATACTCCTCAACCTATTAAGACCGAAATTATTGTTTTCAAAATACTAAATGCTAGTATGTACTAGGTCAGCTAAGCTTAATCATTACCTGGTTATTGTTTCACCCTTTCTACTTATTCCTGCGCTATAAGAACCAGCATAATAAGTCAATACATACTCAGCTTTAAATGAGGCAGTGTGCAATAACAGAAAATGCCCTGGGCTCCAGATCAGGTCATCTACATTTTATTCCTGGCTCTGCCCCTAACTCTGTGTTAACCCTGATAACTAAGTTAGTTTTCTCATCTGTAAAACATGGGTGTGAATTAAACTGCCACCAAGGCCTTTCTATCTGATTTAACGACTATGGTCATGATGGGAAGGTCTGAACAACAATCCCAGGAAGGCTCTCTGTCCTTCCATGTCAATGAAAATATGTGACAGGGTCCAGTATCCTCTTTGCCCTTCTATATGGTGATGTAAACCAGCCAGTGAGAAAAGTTCTATTGTATTCCATAATCAGCACCGTGCAAAAATGCCTACGAATTGACAAAAAGTATGGGTACTTGAGTTGGTTCTCACCACAGCAGGTGAGAATCCTAGGTCCCTTAAACACAGTTCAAATGTATGCTCCCCTGGCAGAACAAACCAAAATAATATCTTCCAGTGAGTTCAGTGGAAGCAAGCTGGGAGAAGAGGGCCCAGAAGAATCTTTGTATGTAAAATAAGTAGCAATGCAAAAATAATAACGATAAAGTGATATGTAATGGAAAGTCTTTTTTTTTTTTTCAAATCATTGTTCACATTGTTTTTGCTTTGAGATCCTATCCCTTCCCTTTTAATATATTTTATTTGAGAAGTTGGAACAAATTTTTTAGCGTGCTTTAATAAGTGGGTGAACGTGGACAGTGTTAGCTTGTGCGAGGTGACTAAATGGCAATACTTTTATCTGTGTTTTTAGTTCCTACCCAGATGGAGAGGTTGGGTTTTTAATTCTTCCCAGGAAGAATTTATAATTAAAATGAAAGAAATATCCAAAACACATTGGTTCCTTTCTGACAGCCTCCATTCAATAGAAGCCATCACAGAATTCATCTATATTTTTATTAATTTGGTCTTGATCCAAAGGGTTGTAGTTGGGTACGACTTCTCTTTTATGCCAGTGCTCATGATTTAAAAAAAAGGGAATAGTTTCTATTTGCTTCTTGATTTTTTTCTCCACAACAAGGAAGTACAATGAAATTAGATAAAACTATTTTGTTGTTTTTTAATTCTATCTCACTGTATCTATTCAGAAATTCCTTCATCTAATAGATATGACAGGCCTGATTACTGTGAATGCTGCTCACTGTATATGGCAAGCATCTGGAGAGGACCCAAACATAAAATTCAGTAGAGCAAGTGCCAGTCAAACCAATTCAATCTTGAGAAAGACTGTTCAGCATTCAGCTATGAAGAAAAACCTTTAGCTCCTCACACAGCTGCTGAACCCACAGTTAAGAAAGTAATGACTGGAGGAAGCATTAGAGATCTTGCTTCCTGGCAATTGTCATCGGTTTGGCTAAAATAAACTCTTATAAAAAATTTTTTTTAAAAAGAAAGTACCGTTTTAATATATCTTGAATTCATTACCTATTACTCTTTCTCAAGGCAATATATCACATGGATACTGCTAAGCTGGAAATCAGCACTACTATGTAGCATTTCATTTACTTTACATATTGCCAAAGGAAGGGATGTAACATTTATCGAGTGCCAAGGATGTGCTTGTCTTTTAAATAGTTGACACTCAATACATATTTGCTATCTGGATAAAAATATAAATATATAGTTTCTCTATCATCATCTTCTCTGAACCAGAATAACAAAGATAAAATCATAAAGCCTACAACAGGGTGTTATAGTTTTGATTTCTGGTATTCCCCATTTTCCTTATATATCAGCTGATTTTTCTATAGAGGCTGAAAAGACATAATAAAGATAAAGCTATTATTTAGTGTACTGTTATTGTTTGACCTTTCTGGAAATCTAATAACTGTTATTCATATATATATATATATATATATATATATATATATATATATATCAATTGCTGGCTTTTCCCCCCAGTTTAATGAAGATTATTAGAGATCACAAGAATTTTAACAATTTTAGAACCCATGGTTATGTTACCCTTACTCTAGTGATCCACTGACTTCATTAAGAATGGGGGGAAAATACAACAGGAACAAAATATGCCAGAATGCTTATGTTGACCACCTCTGAGTTGTGGAACGAAGAGTGATTTTTTACTTTCTTTTTCATCTTTTCTGTATTTTCAAAATTTTCTACAATAAACATGTATTATTTGAATGGTCAAAAAGGTTATCTTTAAAGATATTGTAGAATAGCACTGCATTAAATACAAAGAAAAAAAAACAAATACTGCTTGAGTATCTTCTTCTCTACAATGGAACTGTTCACTTCATGCCTCCTCCAATTAGGTTTTCTAGGTCTGGGCGGGCACAAGGACTGAGGAGTAGAGTTAGGCAATTAATAATCCCTTACCCTGCCTAATGAAAAAGACAGAGCCTAAGGCAGTTGAACTCTGCTCCTCTGCTCAGGCAAGTTTATTTTATACTTTCCTGGAGGAAAGAACACCTAGATCTTTAAGAGAATCACAAGGATGCTATGGAGAAAAAATCTGGAAAAAAATGAACCTCTCCACCTCTTGTCTGAGTCTAAATCTTCTCTACATCCAACTTCTGAAAGTGGATCTAAGAACTTTTTTAAGTTTCAAAGTAACAAAAAACTACATGTAAAAGTGGCATTGGCTCCTTTTTAGTAATAGGAGAACAGAAATAGATTATGAGGGTGTGATTATGATGCTTATAGCATTTTAATATCATGGCACATTACACAAATGTATGAAAAGTATTTTAATACACCCACTATTACTGAACATTCAGCGTGAACATTCAGCGTGCACTTGAATCAGCCTAAATCTCTTCAGCAATTGAGGGCTCTAGAGCTTCGTATGCTTTTGAAGTTGTATTTTCCCCATCTGAGCAATAATGACACTCAGAGACTTTAAATGAGCTCTTATCCCAAACTAAGCAGATCAAAATGACACTATCTCTCTATGTGTTTTTCCACCTGCAGGAAAAAGGCATGATCATTTTTTATAAGGTGCTGTTCGCAGTGCCATGAGAAAGAACCTGATGTACAGTGTCACTGGGACACACCGTTCATTCTAGTGACTCCTTGGTTTCTCAGGTATGTACATGCTGTAGGTGCTACCGAAAGCCTATTGCAACTGATGACTTTTCTTGGCTTTTGAAAGTCATATGGGCTGGGAACAGGGAGAATAATGGGAAAGTGATTACCAAATCAGGATGACACAGACCACATCATAACATGACATAACAGAAGAGAATGGGCCTGATAGTAGGTCCTGGTCCCAGCGCTGCCTCTGGTTGCTGAGGTAAGTATAGCAAGTCTCCTGACCTCAGGGTCTGAGTGTGCTCATCCACAAAATGAGAGTGGTGTAGTTAGTTGGTCACTGAGTCTCCTTCTAATTCTAAAATTCTAATTTCTCTCCTTGTAATGGCTGATTTGAACAAAGGTACAGATTGTTCATGTTCTCTTTAAGAATTTAAGTTCCATGAAAAATTCCAACTTCTTCCTAAATCAAAAGTGTATTTAAAACACAGCATGGAAGTAGGGGAGGGTGGGGGTAAGAGGGAGAGATCAACCAAAGGACTTGTGTGCATGCATATAAGCATAACTAATGCACAGAGACACCAGGGGGTGAAGGCATGAATGGGAGTGGGGTGGGTGGGGGGCATTGGGGGAATAAGGACACACATATAATACCTTAATAAAAAAAATTAATAATAATAATAAACACATCATGGAAGATGAAAACTTCCATGTATTTCACTTTTCAAGGATTGAGGAATGACCAGAGTCACATGTCATCCAAAAAGATTTCTCAATTAGAAAACGGACATAGATTAGACAAACTATAAAATTATTAGCCTTTGTGATTATGAAGGGAAAAAAAGAATGAGGTGTAAAGAAAAGAAAGGAAATTAGTATATTTACTTCTTCTTCATCTCAATTCTAGACTAAGGGATCATTCAAATATATTTTCCAATATGACATACTAGAATCCTTAATTCTGCAGTAACATGAGCTATACATTTTACAGGCCAAAGAGATATTCTTATGGGTCTCCTTTCAAATCTATTAAGTTGTTCTATTAGCTCCATATGATGAATACCAACGAATACAGTATGTTGGGAATTGAAACTGAAATCACACAAACCCTTGGGTCCTTCATCCTTGGAGGGATGAAGGTTCCTAACCGGATCCCGGATGCTGCAGTCTGTTCCCGCCCAGGTGAAATCACAGATGCAGGTGGCTTCGTTACTACACACCTGTGAAGAACAAAGAACAGAGATGGGCCATTTTCACTGCGCTTTGTAGAATACACTGGTGATGAATGTAAAAGAGACACAGGCAGGTAGACACTTTAAAAGCCATTTGGAATTTTATAAAAGTCTCCCACAGTTTTAGTATCAGATAAGGGAAAATCATGCATGGGTCAATGGTAGTTTGTCAGTTAATTACAAAAAGAGATGAAAAAGGAAATAATTGTAATTAAATGTTAATTACTTATGTTGCTATTGTTAAGTACACAAATGTCTGACAGTGTAGCTTATTTCATAAGTAGTTATTTCTAGAACCATTGTTTAGAAACATGTATGCTTAATTCAAGGAATTAACAGATACTGGGCTCAAGAGACAGCCAGAGATAAAGACCCTGAGACATAAATCACCATTTTCAACACCAAATTCATTTGGTGGCTCTTTCCCAGCCCGAGCATCCCTCCCACCTTCCCTGCCTGCCCACAGTCTTCTCTCTGTCGGCCAGGCTAAGACCTTCTGAAAGTGATTATCTCCTCTCATCCCCTGGGGACCAAGCAGCATGCTGGAATGGACTTGTCATTTAGATGAAATAAATAACCATCAGCAAACTAGAGGCAGAGTAGTTTAAGCCCTTATCTGCCTGTGAAATACAGTCAGAGACAGATTATTAGAGGCGATCAAATCAAACTTAAGCCTATTAGTGTAAGAAGCTTTTTAATCTGAAATGTTATAACACTGTGATTATGATGAACAAGATTGGATTTGACCTTTTTTTAACAAGATGAAAAAGTGGGAAGGAGAGCAGGGAGTCAAGGGCCCTTTTAATGCATTAAATTTCATAATGCTTACAGAGCAATAACTGAATAATGAAAGGTTCTGTCCAGTGCTTTTATTCTCCTGCAGCTATTATTGAGCATTTGCTATGTGCTAGGTACATGAGCTGAGTGATTTAGGTATAGCATCTCATTTATGTTCACACTAGCAGCCTGACAAATGACAGCACTGAAGTGACTTGCCCAAAGTAACTGGGATAGTAAGAAGCAGAGCCAGGATTCAAACCCGGGATTCCTTCTCACTCCCAAATCCATGCTCTTGATCACTATACAGCCTCCTTTGTGAGCCTATGATTCAAGCAGACCTGAAACCATACATAATCGTTGGGCATATGCTTCTTATGCCTTTCTATCTTGTTTGATTCTACATCACCTGCTTGGCTACCTATATTTTGGATTCTTTTTATCTTCATTCCAGCATCTCCCTTTTATATTATTTCTCTCAGTGCCTTTATGTTTCTTTTATCCATTCCTGAGGTCTGCATAAATTTTGAAATACTTTTCTTTTACTTAACCAAATTTAAATAATGGTTGAGATTTGTTTTAGATAATTCAGCTTAGGTTTGCCAAGTGTGTCTGCCCAAACACTCTGTCCACAGCATTAAAGCTATATGCAGGTAGAGGGAGCTTCTGCTCTCTGTCTGGCACTGATGCAAACATAACGGTAGAACTGTAAGCCTGTGGATTATATCAGCGAGTCAGTGATCCAACCTTTAGTCTGGTATGACCTTGCACACACAGATAGCCAGCATGCATGCTGAGTAACTGGAAGGGACTTACTGAAAGGGTTTAACTTATTTCAAATGGCAATCACAAAGTAATCACAGAAATTGGGTCTGTACAGAAAATCTTATCCATTTTCATCCAGTTTCTTAGATGTTAAACTATATCTAGAGAATGTGGTGAAGAAAAATAGCCACTGATAAAAGAAACAATAAAATACACCATAGCAACACATCCGGGTATTATTGTTAGCAGACAAGGGCGCTAAGAAAATAATCATAGCCCTGCTGGTGTGGCTCAGTGGGTGAGCACTGACCCATGAACCAGGAGGTCACAGTTCGATTCCCAGTCAGGCTTGTAGCCCAGTAGGGGACATGCTGGCAGTAGCCAATTGATGAAATTTCTCTCTCATTGATGTTTCTGTCTCTCTATCCCTCTCCCTTCCTCTCCCTGAAGTCAATAAAAAACAAACAGTATTTTTCAAAAAAAGAAAAGAATCATAGTCAATGCATCAATATTGGCAACAGCCTCAGAGGGAGAGTGGCTGCACTGGAAATCTAACCACTGTGAACTTTAGGGATGCCAGATAATGAAAGTTTGAACGGGAACACTGATGCCTACTTACCCCATGGCCTGAGCAGACTTTGCCCTTGGAATCAAGTGGGCAGCTGCTCATATTCAGGGCCTGAATCTGTAGGCACTTCCGATCTAAGCACATCATAGATGGGCCACATGGCGTTCCATCTTCCACGTAGCCCACATCTGTATCATCGTCTAAAACCACATGAGCACCACTGGAAGGAGAAAGATATTCAGACAGTCATTAGCACCACACTTGGAAATTCAACTTCAATATGAATGAGCCTTGCTCTCATGACGCTGAAGAGGCTGTGATTGGACAGGGATTTCTCCTAGCATTTCTCCACTTTTCCTTCCCTCCTTTCCCCACATCTCCTTAATAAAAAAGCATGATAAAGAAAACTACCTTTTCTTCTCACTATTATACCACACGTCACAGGAAAAAATAAGTCAAATGTATTCTAAACCTTCGCTTGTTTTCAAGACCAACATTGAGACAAGGGGAGTGGATAAGAGAGGTAATCTTATCATTAGCTCTCCAAGGTTTTCAGATGGGTCACAGTACAAAAAAGGCAGAAGTGGAGCAAAAATAGCAAAATGAAAACCATTTTGGAAATTATTATTACTTTAGAGGATTGAATTGTTCATGTTCAAAAAAGTAAACTGGTTCCTCTCTATTGATATTTACTCCTAAAAATTTCAAGTTAGAAACAAGTTGAATTTAAATAATAGTCAATGTTATAATTACTAATAGAGTACCTTGCTGAATAGTTTACAAACATACCAACTTAAAATATAACAATATAATTTAACAAGGCTGTTATTTCTAGAGACATGTGAAAACTTAACAGATTCAAAGGAGCTTGTGTGCATCAAACTATATTTGAAGACCACAAACTTATTCCAGGAAGGATCTTGCTGTCTAAGATCCTGTTAAAATTGCCTTCAGAGCCATTTAAAAGACTGAAAAATCATTTGATCAAGACAGCATTATGCAATTTGGTTACCCATGTATTTATTAAATTTTGTTCAAGAAATTTTTGGGTTGTTTCCTGATCTTATATGTTCACTCATGTAAGATGGAGGTTTGCCCCTCTAAGGATACGAAGGATAAAAATTTGCAGATGCTAAAGGCAATTTGTAGGAGGAGATCCCAAAAGTGTTTTAAGCAACTTTTTCAGTACTATTTGAATGAGAGCACAGCATCTTAGAATTACGACTACTTTGAAGGGACAAGGATTGTTTGGAATATAATATGATTCGCTGGCTCTAAAAATAATCCTCATATTTTCGGTGTCTTGTGCTCATAGGTAATTGGATATAAAACATTTGTCTCTAGCTATAAATAATATTTTAATAAATATTTTCTATAATCAATTAAGTATTTGTTAAACCATCTTCTAAATCAGACAGGTCTGAATGAAGTAAAGCTTAAACTTTTTTTGCCATAAAAAATAAAACACACATAGTGTTCAACTAGTGACATATTCCAATGCTAAAAGCTTTAATCATGGGTCAAAATAGATAACTTAATTCTACTCTTCAGGTTATAATTACAAAGAATGTCTCCTACTAACAACTGGTACAGTTTTTAAACAAATGTAATTTGCAAATCTAGATAATTGTTTTTAAATGACTCTTAACATGAAAGGTGATAATAAAAATTTCAATCAACATTTCCCTTGTAAGGAATAGAAAAACTGCCCTTGATCTTTCTAAATTTGTAATTCTCATGGTTCTTTAGGGTTTTTCCAATATTGAATATGTTACCTGCAGTCAATCACCCGGCCTTGATGATAGAAGGAAGTTGGGATGATCTCTCCCTGAAGTTGACCAATACGTGGAGCTCGGGTAAGGTTGGTACAGAGTAGAAATCCACAGAACACATCACTAAGCAGGTTAAAATTAAAATTAAAATAAAAGAAAACACAGAATAAGACAAGAGGAATCATGCTATTAAACAAACAAAGAAAACACCTAAAACTATTCAGTCCATATATATTAAAAACATAAAATTTTATCTTTCTTTCTAAACAAAAACACTCAATCAGATATTGTTGGTTTCCTATGACGCCCCTCCTTCCTAACTAGCAGGATCACAATTTTGTTTGGGAGCAGCAAAGTGCTCAGCCCTGAAAGATGTGGTGACTGGCATCTAAGCTGGCCATGCCCTTCCACTTCCTGTACCCTCTTTCCTGGCCACCCCTCCTTCTTTTCCTCCTAGAGCTGAAGGTGGCCCGTGGGTGTTGAGAAGTGAGAAAAAGCTGGCTAGGAAGCTGCTGGGAAAATTTGATTTCTGGATAAAAGGTTATTTGCCTGACAGGAAGATCCTTATTCCTATCCCTGCTTCCTGCCTTTGAAGATGGAGCCTCTACAGCTAACTTGCAATTATTTTTTTTAAATATATTTTATTGATTTTTTTTTTTTTTTACAGAGAGGGAGGGAGAGGGATAGAGAGCTAGAAACATCGATGAGAGAGAAACATCGACTAGCTTCCTCCTGCACATCCCCCATTGGGGATGTGCCCGCAACCAATGTACATGCCCTTGACCAGAATCGAACCCGGGACCTTTCTGTCCACAGGCCGATGCTCTATCTCCTGAGCCGAACGGTTTCAGCTAACTTGAAATTATTAAGTTCATGATCATTAAGTTCACGATCATAAGGGTCCAAACGCAACATGCAATGGATTGCAGAGCAGAGGGGCAGAATTATCTGGGTCCTCAGTGACATTATTAAATGGTTCACCCATCATGATGGCATCTACCTGTAGCCTATTTATGTAAACAATACATTTCAATCTTTTTTTTTTAAGGGGGGACTAAGAATAGAAGCATTTCACAAAAATAAATAAATAAATAAATAAATAAATAAATGAATAATAAAAGGAAATCCATTGTCTAAAATAGGGGTGTCGAACTCAATCAGAGAAGGGGCCAAAATCTAAAATCCAGCCTAAATCGCGGGCCAAATGGTTTACTGAACAGTCATAAACTGTCATTGTGATGGAAACGCAGCGGAGTGCAGTGATGACAGCGCGGTGCGGGCCACATTGCAAGGCCTGGCGGGACGGATTTGGCCCGCGGGCCTTGTGTTTGACACATGTGGTCTAAAACATGCATGAAAATGTGCTAAATTCCATCTGTAATCAGGGAAATGCAAATTAAAACCACAATCATATAGCAGTTCACACCCACCAGAACAGATAAAAGTAAAAAGTCTGGAACACCAAGCTCTGGTGAGAATGTTGTTACAAATTCTCACTGCTGGTATGGTTTAGTAGTACAACCGCTTAAAGAGTTGTACCACTTGGTGGCACTGAAAATATGCATCCATGGTTTTGTAATTTTTCTTCTAGGTAGGGGACTTAGATCAGTGTGTCCAAATGTGCACCAAGTCACATGTAAAGAATGTTCGCAGTGGCATGGTTTCTAATAGCCAAAATGTGGAAACATCTAAATGTCCATCAACATAGAATGGAGGGATAAACTATGGTATAGTACTAGGAATACGAATGGAAGTCAAACAAATGAACAAAAAAATTGAACTTAAGCCAAATACAAACTAATACAGAAATTATGATGCCTTTTCTATAAAGTTACCAAAACTTTTTGCAAAATACATCTTTAGAGATGAAAAGTTAGACAGTAAAACTCTAAAGAAAAGAAAGAGAGAGAGAGAGAAAGAGAGAGGGGGGGGAAGAGAGAGAGAGAGAGAGAGAGAGAGAGAGAGAGAGAGAGAGAGAGAGAGAGACTGCCATAAAATCAAAATGAGAGGAAGATAATTTTCTGGGATGCTTCAATGTTCTATATCAGTGGTCGGCAAACTCATTAGCCAACAGAGCCAAATATCAAAGCACAACGATTGAAATTTATTCTGAGAGCCAAATTTTTTAAACTTAAACTTCTTCTAACGCCACTTCTTCAAAATAGACTCGCCCAGGCCGTGGAATTTTGTGGAAGAGGCCGTGGAATTTTGTGGAAGAGACACACTCAAGGGGCCAAAGAGCCACAAGTGGCTCTCGAGCCACAGTTTTCCGACCACGGTTCTATATCTTCATCCAGGTAGAGGTTACATGGGAGGTCACTCCCTAATTATTTGATAGAATGTATATTTGTGTATTATTCACTTTCCTGTTTTTCTGTTATATTTCATAATTGTTAAAAGGTTCAGAAAACTGATTTTCTTCAACTCAGTGGTGGTTGGATATTCTGTTACCAGATATTCAAAAGCTGTATTACAATGATCTAATAATCCAATACCTCCAAAACTTTTTGAATACACAGAGAAATGATCAGATCTGTCTAGGACATGGAGTTAATGAATACACCTGATCTAATCTAGAGGTTTCCCACCCCATGGACTTTGACAACTTTGGGTCCCACTTTCTCTTACTCCCTTGACACTTCAAAGGCTGAATTTTGCAAAATTTTGTAAAGTTCCACATAGAAACCATAAACTAGAGAAATAAAAACTTCCATTAAATCCTTGCTCTGCTTCAAAATTGGAGGACGAATCCTCATTGTTACAGAAGGAAAACAAAGGATCTTTGGCCTATAACCTAGAGGTCCCATAGATCCAAGTCACTGAGTTAATAATTAAATGACAATATTTACTTTCCTCAACTAATCAAAGGGAAAATATCACTGATGGGCTCTGAAAATATGTCATTTCCTCAGTAAAGACGCCTCCCGTATGCACTAAATCGATGCTTTTCAGAAGGGAATAAAAATCTCTGATACAGACATTAGATCTTCAATTCAATCAAGTGGTACTGTACTCTTGAAATGACCAACAATATGTTATTTTACTTTGAATGGTTCCCAAAATATAAAAGGCCTAGATATGTTGCTTATAAAACTCTGTATATACTAATATTAATTTGTAATCCCTTGGCAATATATCTCTTCAAAATAAGCATCATGTAAAATAAAGTATATGAGAAACAGTCTGAATTTTAGAGAAATGATGTGATTCTGTGCATAGAAAGCTTAGTCTGTGGCCATTTGCTTCTAGATATACCGACGTATTTTTATATGCAGACTTTAAAATTTGAAATAACAGAACATTATAAAAAATCAGTAACATTCATTTTGTGCCATTTCACACTTGAACCAGGCCTTTCCATCTGCTCACGAGGCCCCAAAGCTGACCACTCACTGTTTGCTGCACTGAATCCATCGGTCTCCGTCCTTCCCACAGTTTCCCTTCTCCGTGCCTTCGGTGTTCAGCTTTTCGTAGCAGAACTTGTCAGATCCGGAAGCCTCTTTGGAGAGGAGCAAGAGAAGATTCATTTTAGTCATCTTTGTTATCTATAACCAGTTGTGCACTGGTAAACATTTGACAACTGATTCTCCAAAACATTAAACTTATAAAAGGATTCTCATTGGTAGCATTTACCAGTTTCCATGGTGTAAATACCATTATGTGAATTTCCATGGTGTAGCACATGGCTAACTTCAAGGTCTCGGTGTGTTGTCAACTAGCTTCTGAAAGTCCTGATATTTTGACAGTTGGCTCTCACAAGCTAATGCAAGACAGCTCCAACACACCCCTACTTTTGAGAAACAAATGTACTCCCCATTCTTGCTGGCAGGTTTGAGAGGAGGAAGTAGGAATGATCACCAGCAGAAATTAGTGCAGTGACACACAGAAAAACATATAAACACACTTAGTCCTGCTTTATATTAATATTAGGAGATACCACAAAGTCTTAGCCGACTAAAATTTTACCTTGAAAATTGGATTTTAACATTTAAATCTTCTTTAAAAAAAAAAAAAAAAAAGAAAAAGAAAAAGAAAAAGAAAAAGAAAAAGAAAAAGAAAAAAAAATATGCCTCTATTACCTTTTCTGGGTCAAAACTGAAGGCCCAAAAAGTAAATGTTCCAGGTAGATGGCATTTGCCAAACACTGACAGCACTGGGCAAGGCCTCTACCCCCTTTGGGGTGCTTTCTGGGTCTTCGGGGTCACCAGCCTCAGCCAGCAGAGCAGACCCACTCCTCTCCCCTCTGGTCTGGCCCTCATTGTGGCAAGTTCACTGGGAGGCGCTGCAACTGTCAGCACGATAACACGTGTATTCAGAGGCAGGGAACGTGCCGAGAATCATGCACATGGACCCGAATCTTTATCTGTCTGCCCTTTGGGCAGTACCTGCATTTCTTCGCTTCACAATGACAAGAGCAAATTACAGAATTTTAAAAATAAGGCCTGGAACTTTCCTGGGGTCAAAAAACAGACGGCTAAGTTTGGGGGATAAATGTTAAATCCAAGATACAAAATAAATTATGCAAGTGGCTGGGTAACGAACGTGACCGCTGCTCTCAACCCGATCTTGGCATGGATGCACGGTCCCTTCTCTTACCGCCACGAGCCCTGAATGGCACTCTTGGGTTCTCATGCAAGCCCCCAACTTCAGCAGATGTTCCTGTGGTTCTGTGACTAAGATTCACAGTTCTCTTTATTTCACCCTTTTCTAGTGTTTTTTTTTTTTTTAATACCTCACTCCAAGCTATACATCTCTCTCAGCAAGACAGGCAAAGGACAATACGAAGAGAAACCTGTGTGTGAGCATCAACCAAAAACATCACCTACTTGTTCCCCAGATGTACTGACACTGGTTGTCCCGGGTTTTGCACTCCCCGCTGTAGCAGCGACCCTGAGGACAGGAACACACACACCTTATGAGGCACAGGGAGCGGTTCTGTTTCCCCCCAAATCTTCACAGTGAAAATGAGAAGCACAAACAGCTTCAGACGAGCAGAAGAATAACAGACAGTTAAAATCTAAAACTCAGAACAGACCTCATAGCACAGCTCTTTAAATCTAATCCTCTAAAATTTTAAACGTGACGGTAAACAGCAATTGCTAAATTTCTTTGGGTGATACCAAGATGATTTTTAGCTTCTTTTGTTTGGGAACAGTTAGGTTATAACACGGCTTTGGGTGGGGCGGACCCATGTAAGAACAGATTGCCATATTTTTTTAAAAAATAAACAGACTGGTATTGAAGATAGTCACAGCTCAATAAATTAGATTCCCAATTCCAGCCCATAATCTGGACAATTTGTCATCAGAAGTAAATATAATACAGTTAGCATGTGGTACGACGCAAAGCAACTCTGAATCAGAGCACCACTGTAATAATTTACTATTGTTTGAGTTATCGTTTTCTTTCAAGCTTGTATTTATTTAAAACAAACACCTAGCAAACTAATCTTTTTTAACTGAACACTTAAAATGTATAGCCCAGCATACCTGATTTTGATTGCATGCATATCCATCTTGTTTATGAAGATTTGGTGGGCACTGAAAGATATAATCTTTTAAGTTAATGCTCATCATGTTAAGTTCCTTCAGGTTATGTGCACAATATGTAAAAAAACAAACAAAAAAAAAATCAAGCATGGTGAACATATAATTGGAAATGCTTTAAAATATATGACTAACTCTTTAAGAAGATTATCCAAATTAATTCTCCCATTTTAGTAAAAATAAATAAACGAGGTCCACGCCGTGGGTGCTTTTTTGTTTCTCTGTTTTCCATGAAATAGACTGGAATAATAACTTACATTCACTCGCCTACAGAGTGAAAAGCAGGAGGGATTAAAATGGACAATGACAGGATATGAGTCATCTTGTGATGTAGGAGTGGACACATTCAGGAACTAATTTACAGGCTGGCTGAGCTCTGTGAAAAATGTCAAATCTATATCTGACACCCACGAAGCTCACCTCGAGGCCACATTATTAAAAAAGAAAAAAACACACCCTGCCTTTCAGCTCAGTGTAAGTGACGAATCTCCATTACATTTCTGACCTCCTGAACCGCAGCCCTGTTACTAGAACAATCCTGATGTGATGGAAATTTCCTTTTCCAGGTCTATCTATCAAATAATTATTTTAAAGTACACTTCATTTTTCACCCCAAATTACCCTGAATACATTATGTTGAAGTGTTTACCACATGGAAGAGAGATAAAAAAAAAAAAAAATTCAAAGTCTCCACCACAGTGTTCAAAGCAAATATGAAAGGGGGGAAAATACACAGGTGTGGCAAGTCAGTAAGAAACACAGCAGTATGCACTGAGACCTCCCTCGGTTTTCTGTCACCTCCTCAGTAAAGGATAGTCAGTCCTACTCCTCCAATTATTCAAGCCTCAAATAATTGGAGGCATCCTCTACTTCTCTTTTTCTAGCTCATCAAAAAATCCCAATAGCCCTTCCTTCAAAATGCCATTACTGCCTGACCACTTTTCTCCATTTCCACCGGAAACGCCTGATCCAACCCTTCACCATCTCTCACTTGGATTATGCAACAGTCTCCAGACAATTCCCTTGCTTCCACCCTCCTCGCCTTGCAGTCCATATAGCTACCAGAGTGTCCCTTTAAAAAACGTGAACCAGACCGTGTCACCTCTCTGCTCAGTGGCTACCCAACTTACTCATGGCTTTCCAAGTTCAACACGATCTGCTCCAATGCTGCCCGACCCCATCCTCTCCCTGACCTCATTCCCACTCTGCCATAACTGATCTGACTCCACGTGAAGGTGCTGGCCGGGCATCCTGCCACCCTGTGGCCTTTGCCCTGGCTCTCCCTTCCATTGCCCACCCACCCTCACCCCCGATTTCTGCATGGCTCGCTCCTTCACCTTCTTTAGGATTTTGCTCAAGTATTAGCACCTCAGAGAAGCCTTCCCTGACCCTGATCTTCAGAACTGTAGCCCCTCCCAGGCTGGCCTTCTCTGCTCCCCAGTCTCTCTTTTGTTTTGTTTTTCTTCTCCATCGTACTTATTAGCAACCGACTATTCATATACAGCAGGTCCTCAAATGCCGTCATTTTGTTATAACATTGATGAGAAAGAAAAATAAAAACGGATTCCCAGGCAGGGCCACTGGCTGTGAGGAGTTAGCCGGTTCTGCTCATGTCTGCAGGAGTTTTCTCCCGGGACACCGGTTTCTTCCCACATGTCAAAGATGTGCACATGGGTGATTGGCCTAACTGTCCCAGTATGAGTGAGCGGGGTGGGTGTGAGTGCGCCCCACATGGGAGGGTGTCCTGCCCCTAAGAGTTCCCGCTTTGCATGATCAGGGTTAGGACAGGCTCCAGGCAACCATGACCCTGAACGGCAGTAAGTGGGTTGGAAAAGAATGATCTGATTTATTTTTGCTCATCCTTCTTAAAGTATCTGTATAGTTCACCTTTATTTCAATGTTTAATGTAAGAAGTGTTGTGGGTCCTTAAAAGTTGAGTGATGTCTCTGTGACAAGAAAAGGGCCATAAGAACTTAGGTCTTGTTCTTGTCAATGAGCCTCTGGTAAACTTGGTCCTTACACCTAAAATCACCATTTCCAAGAACCTATCAATGACGTTAGGTGAGGACCTACTACTGTATTTTCCTTATTTGTATGTCTATTGTCCTATCCTAACCAGAGCTCCATGCAGACACGGATTTTGTGTTTTGTTCCCTGCTGCCTCCCCTGGTGCCTAGAACAAAACTGGGCTCAATTATTATTGAGTAGATGCTCAATTATTATTGGCTGACTGGGAAAATAAATAGAGCAGCCATACAGATACAATTAACTTTTTCTATTCTGTTATATATCAAGCTGCTTTTCAAGTTCACTACAGAAAGCTAACAGAACTAATTTAGAATTGCTAAGAAGCAGTAACTTACTAAGGAACACGTTGAGATCAAGTGGTTGGATTCTACATCTTTCTACGGATTATCTGACTTATATAAGCTTTTATTCACCACAGCTTTTCATTCAACCTGGTGGTGACTATTCAAAGGATATAATTACCAGCCCTGAAACCTGGCATACTTGGCCAACTGCACAGAAATCAGAGATCCCTGTGGTCTCTTTCGTTCATCCAAATCCACTCAAAACACAGTCATTATCGTATTAATCAACTAGCATTAATTATTCACTTACTTCAAGACAAATACAACCACGCTGAGCAAAAATGAAAAAGAAATGCTGCTACCATAATAGGCACATCAGGGTCTAAAATTAATTTGTCATATTTGTGATGTTTCAATAGGAAAGAACTCACAGAATTCTTTACTAATGAAAAAAAAAATGCCTTACTCCACCTAATTATAAGCTGTCATAGCTACATGCAAGAAGATTTCCAATCAATTTATGTTCAGTTTAAGCTAATAAAAAGCCAGTTGCTTATCGTTGAAACATTTAACAAGGGAAATTATGGAATGTTTTATGGTCTCTGGAGACATTTAAAGCAGAAGAACCACAAATCTGTGTACTTTGCTCTGCCTGTGCAGTAATACGCCTTTGGTACAGTTTGGTCTCCAAAGGCCATGCTAGCCCCCACCTTTATGCTGTATGAGAGGGTTCACTTGAGGCAGACTTTAACAGTCCGATAGCAGCTAAATGGGCTTATTTTAAATTGTTTTCTAGCCGAAACCGGTTTGGCTCAGTGGATAGAGCATCGGTCTGTGGACTGAAATGTCCCGGGTTCGATTCCAGTCAAGGGCATGTACATTGGTTGCGGGCACATCCCTAGTGGGGGGTGTGCAGGAGGCAGCTGGTCAATGATTCTCTCTCATTGATGTTTCTAGCTATCTATCCCTCTCCCTTCCTCTCTGTGAAAAATCAATAAAATATATATATTTAAAAATAAATTGTTTTCTACTACTCATTTAGATGGCATACTTCATGGTGCTAACAAAACAAAACAAAAATTTCCCACTTCTTCCAAAAACATATTTGTCATATCATCCAGTATTGTTTGCCAAGGAGTTCTCTCAGGAATGTTTATTCTGTTATCAATTGTGAACTTAAAAAACAACTCAGGCCCTGGCTGGGTGTTCAGTTGGCAGGAGCATCGTTCTGATACACCAAGGTTGAAGACTTGATCCCCAGTGAGGGCACATATAAGAATCAACCAATGAATGCATAAGTAAGTAGAATTAATAAGTTGGTCTTTCTCTTCTTCTTTCTCTCTAAACTCAATAAATAAATAAAAGTAGCTCAAAGGTATCAGTTAATGCTAATATCAAAATTAAGCAAAAACATACTATGAGATAAAAGAGATAAAGTCATAATGTTGCCAGTAATACTCATTCTCAGAGATGCAGAAATTCTCAGAGGTCACAATTTCTTAATCATTATTAAATATTATTAATATCAATTAAATTTAAAGTTCGCTGCCTCTAACAAAGCCAAAGAATTTGAGGGCATTTAACTCCTTTCCCGCCAATGATCTATTTCAGGTTCATTTGGGTCATTTAAAGAAATTACTACTAATAGAACATGTTATTCTAATATGATACTGAGAAATTAACAGTACAATTTTTACCTTAGATAAATGAGATTAAAAATCACATTTTAAAAAATTTAGACAATAAACTATTCAGTTGAACACAGAGCCCTTATTATAAAAGCCTTATTTCTGGTAAATTCTATGGCAATTCAGGAGTTAAAGGTTGAAATGGAAAAAAACACACTTCTAAAAGAGCTGAACACAGACCCAGAACAATATATGATGGGAATAAAAATAATATTATCCTACAAAACTAAAAATATAACTCAGTGGAACAGTAATTCAGGAATGTCAGTATACTTGTCATGAAACAGAGTCCACAATTCTTATATTTTGCCACTATATTGTAAGAAAATTCCAAAGAATCTGTTTTACATATTTATTTTTTTAATTTACATATTTAAATATAAGAAAGAGATGCTGCCTGGCCAGCCTGGCTCAGTGGTTGAGCATTGACCTATGAACCAGGAATTCACAGTTCAACTCCAGGTCAGGGCATATGCCTGGGTTTGGGCCTCGATCCTCAGGGTGGGGCATGCAGAATGCAGCAAACAATGTTTCTCTCTCATCATTAATATTTCTGGCTCTCTGTCCTTCTCCCTTCCTCTCTGAAATCATTAAAAACAGAGGGAAAAAGAGATGCACAGAAAAATCATAAAAGAACAGCCTGAACACATTTGAAGTGTGCCATATCCTTACAAGGGTCCACTTGGATGGAGTCTCATGATACACACTGAGTGGCCAGATTATGATGATCTCTGAATTCTCTAGCCACTCAATATGTGTGTGTGTGTGTGTGTGTGTGTGTGTGTGTGTGTATTTGTGCATGTGCGTGAATTCATGCATGAGTGGGGTCCAGCCAGCCTGGCCACGGGGAGGGGACATGGGCAGTTGGCCAGCCTGCCTGCTAGTTCAACTCCTGGTCAAGGGGACAATTTGCATATTAGCCTTTTATTATATAGGATATACACTGAGTGGCCAGATTATTCTGATCTCTGAATGCAAATAATCTGGCCACTCAGTATATATTGAGAACTTCCAAAGAGGTCAATTAGGAACTTTTGTTTCCCTCTCCTCCTGTCCTTCCAGTGAAGGAAATTCAGTGTAACTCCAATCTCTCTCTGCGCTTTATTCACTATTTCCCAGTAGGTAGAGTAGTTGACTGCTTGATAAACTTGGGAGGAATAATTGGGCATTCCGGCTCAGTTCTGCCATCCTCTCTTGTCCACTCACATAAATCATACTCTCTCTCCATGACATGCAAGGCAAAGCCAGGCTCTGCAGGGAGAGGCCACTCCAGACCCAATTTTGCCAATTACCTGTTTTGCAGCCTGAACCTGGGATCTATAAAGAGGCCCATTTAGCCTCACACTAAGCTATGACTTTTATCTTGGCCATTTTCAATTATAAAAATGATATTCTGGCCTCCATCTGTACACTATTTAATGGTAGCTCCTTGGATAGCACAAAACCTGGCAATAGGTAACTCTACTAGAAACTTATCCTAATTAACTAACTCCCAACAAGAAAACAGTCTTAAAAATGCATAAAGGTATTCACTGTCATCTTAATTCTAATTCTAAAAAGTTGCCAAAAATCTAAATATCCACCACTGGATACAGAAACCAACTAATACACGTGACAGACTCTCATGCAATCGTAAAAAGGATTTGTATGTAATAAATGTGTCATAGTATGGGAAAAGGCTTTTCAGTGATGTCAGAATGAATATGAAGGTCCAGCAAAATCTAGACTTCTTACCAAGTTCTTACCCGTCCTGGCTTCCTCTCTGAATGCTCCCATAAATCTCTTCTCTTTTATTCCATTTCTTGAAGAAGCCAACTTCCTGTACTTGCTGCTTTCTGCCAAGCTCCTGATTAGCTGTTTCTACTTAAATGCCTACTTCTCCAAGAAAATATACCCGACCACTCCACCTGAACCCCCACTCCATCGGTTTTTGCACATGGCCTTATCTTACTCTTAGCTCTTATCACCCTCTGGCCTTTTTGTTCATTCGTTTGCCTTTCTCCACCCCGTGGAATGTAAGTTTCAGAAGAACAAGCACTGTCCATCGGGATCCCTATCACATCCCAACTTTTACAGCAGAGCTTGCCATAAGTAGGTGCCCAAAAATGTTCGTATGAGTGACAAATAAAGACTTGAAATAACATGACATAAATGTTTAAAAGCATGCAAATTACATAAAGAAAGAATGTTACAAGCCAGCATTAATTATATGTTATAATAATTTTAATGGGAGAAGATCGTGCCAAAGCACATCAGCCATGCCACCAGACAGCTACAGAGCGGAGAGGGCGGGACTCCTGCTCCCAGTCCCACTTCACCCAGAGCAGTGCTGCTTGCTTCCTGCTTTCTATCTTGGCTCCCACCCAAAATTCTGTTTTTGTTTTTTTTAAAAAAAGGGGTTTGTGGCTTTAAAATGTTTGTAAACAGTACATTAGTGCTTCACTAGTGATTTAGATGTGAGGACCAAGAAAGAAGAATCAATTAGTTGGGTATAAACCATATAAAGGCAACTAATTATGAAAAGGAAACTTGGAAGAAAAAGAGATTCCTAAAATAAAGGCAGGCTGGAAAACTACTAGAAAACAAAACAAAGGAGCCAAAGCATATTCACACATGTAATCCAAATGGAAAGCTTTAAAATGTGCATTTACAAGTCAAATGGATTACCTAAACCTCAGTTTGCCATACCTGGCCAGAGTCCCCAGTACAATACTCGGTAATATCACACCCATTCACAGCGTCTCGGCATTCGTATCCCCTTGGCTGAAACTGCAAATTGAAAACCAATGTTAGGAGCTAGTACTAATTAATCTTTCTTAGAGTTAGCATTCTGATGTTCATCGGTAATTCTGATACTCTCTCACAACCATCACCAAACTCTTTGTATGAATTAGCAAGATAGTTGTAGGCCCAGTTCTCACTCTTTGTTGTAAATATGAATCATTAACCAAGACAGTAAATGTTTGGATTTCAAAACCCACTGTCTCAGAGTATTATTTTTAAAAGACCATGTAATGGCAATTATGTAAAGAAGAAACACTGGTGTGGCTAGAGACAAAGAGTGACAAAACACTAAAATACAAACATTTAAGATTTCTCTGGAGGTTTATGTACCCATCTAATGTTTACTAATTAACTTTATGAACCTGGATGTTAATCTTGCTTTAACTAAATATATACAATCAAATGTCAATGGTTTCCTTTAGTAACACCAGTGGCTGCCTACTGTATATAAGACATTTGGTTGGTCTGATTGGGGATAAGTAAAAGATTAAGGAATTACCTGCAGGCAACGTATAACCTGGTAGGGCACATAAGGTGAGTATAAACTAAGCTGGAACCTTCTAGAATACCATATGTATAATACCTATTGATAACGAATAAAATAATCAAATTGTGTAATTCTATAGGTAAAAGGAATAATAGAGGTTTTACAGGTGAGAAAAGGTAAGATTTTTTAAAATGACTTTTTAAAAATTAACTGGTCTCTATAGGTAGAAGTAACTGTGTGTACACACATATAGACATACAGTCATGCATGACTTCCTCATCTAGCTTTTTTTTTTTTTTTTGCCTGGATAGGGGATTTAAAAAGCCAAATGTAACACGATGAGCACGTAGCTTTATGCTCAGAGTCTAAAATAAAAAGACCACAGGGATCGTCCCTCTCGCATTCAACCATTTAGCCTGGTTTTCATCTGCCTTCACAGGACAACTCTGAATGTTTATTTCAGAAGAACTCCGTTTTTATGTATACACTGAGCTATTTGGCCCATGTGTCCGTGAAAAGAAAGACGAGGCTGCCAGGAAGCTCACCAGACACGAGGTATTGTTGCAGCAGGGCCCATCGCTACAGTGGGCCCCATTGGAGAGCGAGCACTTCTTACAGCACAGTCCATAGCATTCCTGGAAAAAGCACTCCGGTGAGTGAGTCAGGACACCTCCCCGCTGGCCCATTCAGCATGCCCTCCACGTATGACTTACCCATAATCCACATGAGGGGGTTCAGACAATAGTAAGCAAGTACTTCAGGAAAGAATTAATCACTTGGACAATGACAGATTCCTCCCTGCCCTGTTTCTCAACAAAGCATGCTCTTCCATGAAAGGGCTTCTCTGCCAAAATGTCACCTTATTCGTTAGCGGCCATCCCACCCTTGGCTAGCTCCATTACATTTTTAATACTCAGTCTAGTTTTATAAAGACAAAAAATAATACACGACACAGAAAGACTGTTTTGTGATTTGGTAAAACTAGTCTGGGGTAACGGTGAGCTATGAATTTTTAAGAGGTAGGGAATTTCATTAGAAGGATCTATGAGATTTTCTCAGACAGGGCCACAAGGACATGATTAATTCTGACGCTGTGTCTGAGCAGGGATTAAGCATTGATGAGCAAGATCAGAAAGAAAGGCAGCGAGACCACAGTGAGTGATATTGCAGGCATCTCACTAATGCTGTTCGTGTTTGCTCTGCGTAGGTGCTGTGCTGAAGGTAAAAAAGAACTCTTATACCTACCACATGGAAACCACAGTCACATTCCTCCCCAGCTTCTACGTATCCGTTTCCACATTCTGTGGGCTCAAAAAGCTGAGGGCCATTAGGGAGAGAAAGGAAAAACATTTTAATTTATCACAGAAAATTAGCACACCAATCAGGCCACATATATGGCCATTCAATCAGCTATCCTGTGATATTCTTTTTGTGATCTGTTGCAATGGCATCTTATAAATGATGTCTGTTTGGGAAATACTATTCCCTTATTAATAACACTTATAAAACCCATGTTTTATGTTTTTAATATATTTTTATTGATTTCATTGAGGAAGGGAGAGGGAGAGATAGAAACATCAATGATGCAAGAAAATCATTGATCGGCTGCCTCCTGCACACCCCCTCCTGGGGATCAACCCCACAACCTGGGCACTGGGGACTCTTCAGTCTGCAAACCGAGCAAACCAGTAGAGGTTTGAATGGGGCAATATCTCTTGGAGGATTCTATGGTGGTGGGCTCTAGAGGTGACCTCCATCATCCCAGTTACTTTTTATGGAGATAAACTATCAATAAGAATGGATCAATTCTCATATTTGCTAATGGAGCTAAGGTGCATTGCTAATAAGGCTCATATATCTAATTTGTTGGCTTATCCCAAGGCAGCTTAGAAGATATCAAAATTGTCAAAAAGATAAAAATATTTCAGTCCAGCCAAATGTGATATATACAATCAAGTAAATACAAATAAGCTTAGAAAAAAATGTGGCTAGAAATCCACTGCCATCATTCTCATTGAAAATAAATCCATACTGCCTGAAGCATATTAAGTACATATGCAGACATATACATGGATGTACAGAAATCTCTCGGTCCTTCCAGGAGCAATGGAAGAGTCAACTGTCTACAATAAACTACCCCCTGGTGCTATGAACTTGCTCACCAGATACACACTATTCCAACCAATTGTGGAGGCAGTTGATTGTTTATGGGGACATTCCTATTTCCCTTAACCTGGGCAAGATTCCTCTGTGCATGTCCAGCACATCCTAACCCAATTCTCCAAGCCATGAATAGGAGAGGGAGAAAGAGACTCCTTCCCCAACAACATCACATACAAGCCAGGGGTGGCTTTCACGGAGTCCATCTGACAAAGATCTGATTCCCCTTCCACTTCCAAGAAGGAGAACTATTATAAGAAACAAGGAAGGTTTCCAGGAGACTTGGTGGGACTCCCCAGTGGACGAGTCCAGTGAATGAAATCAACAGTCCCAATGCCTGCGGTATTTTGATCAGCAAGCAGAAGGAAATGGAATAGGGAAGGGCAGACCAGAACATGTAACCTTAGGACTCTCCTCTTGAGAAAGGTCACTGTGGCACAACACATGGAAAACATGGCCTTGGGAAGGTACCCACAGCACGAAAAAGGTGCACATCGGTCATGTAAAAATACATAAAACGTGCATCCATACGTTCATTGACTGAAAACACTTGAAAAAAGTCAGTTTTTTGTTACATACATAAAAAACTCTTTCACTGGAATCCAAAGGGGCTTTTTAAAAAAAACATGCTAATATGCCGTTTTAAAAGAAAAACAATTTCATATTTACTAACTTTTAAAATTAAAGGTAGATGGTTACTTTTATTTAGTTTCCAGCTTACTGGAATCATTTTCTTTCCACTCACAGGCAATGTCAGACATTTCGTGATGGATCCTCATACACACTCACTCGAAATCTTAACCTTTCCCAACCACTCGGTGTTGTTGGCTCACGTGTGATGCTTATAATTAGTTGGTGAGCTGCTGGGCAGGTAAAAGTGGCCACGTGCATTGCATTCAAATGGTTGCTCACATTAATTCATCATTACCCATTGCATCCATTTGGTACACTCTGGAGTTGCCAGGTTTCTGTTGCATTGAGATGAATGTCATAAAAGGCAGGCAGCCAAGTTTTAATGATGCAAGTTCACTTTAAAATTCCTATTTCTTTTTCTGCAGCCGTACTAAGATTCTATACAAATGTCGGCATCAAACTACCATCCGCTGGCTATAGCAGTATCACTTAATTACAAGGATAGGAATAAATTATTCTGTCAGTTGCCCACATTAGTACTGATTTTTAAAAAAAGGCTAACACGATTTCACTACTCTCTCAATTTGCGAAGTGATAAACAGTTTGTATAGCAATGGACTTGTTTTCACTTAAAGGAAATATGAAATGTGCGGTGTTAGAATGTCTATACCATTTGCTAATTACAATAGCACCGACCCTGACTTTTTGTCTCTTGAGCAAATTCTTCTAAACATATTACTATAGGTCTGTAGTCCCATACCAGAAACTTTATATCTAGTGAATTTGAGGATTCTGGCTTTTCTGGATTTTAGAAAAGTATGATACATTTACCATGTTCCATGTAATAACCCTGAGGAGCCTGGTGGATGCCCTATAATCAAACATATTAATATTTCCTCAAAAAGACTTACAAATATTCACACTATGAGGGATAAAGATTTTCAGTTTAAGACAAGTGTCACTGTCTATTATGTCTTCTGCAAACTCATAAAAAAAACATTTTCAATTTTCAGAGCTTTTGAATGAAGGAATTTGTGGTAAGGGATTATGACATTGCATATATATGAACTTCAATGAAGTGTCAATTGACAATGCGGACCTTCCCAAGTAAAGAGACTGTATAATATAAATACATATATGTGTTAATGAGATCCATAAATACTTGGCCCATTTTTTTAGCTCTGTAATATTAGAAATGTTTCTTTTCTGGGAGAATAGACTATGACAGGAAGGAAGGAAGGAAGGAAGGAAGGAAGGAAGGAAGGAAGGAAGGAAGGAAGGAAGGAAGGAAGGAAGGAAGGAAGGAAGGAAAGGGAGGACGGAGGTGGCGGGAGGAAGGCTGGCATGGCTGGTGTGATTAAGTGATTGAGCACTGACCCATGAACCAAGAAGTCTGTTGTTTGATTCCCAGTTAGGGCCCTTGCCTGACCCCAATAGAGGGCTGTATAGGAAGCAGCCAATCAATGTGTCTCTCTCATCGATGTTTCTGTCTATTTCTCTTCCTTCCTCTCTCTGAAGATCAACAAAAATATATATATTTTTAAAAAAAGATAGTTTGGATGGAAGGAAATAGGGAGGCGAGGAGGGGAGGGGAGGGGAAGGGCGGGGAGGGAAGGAGAAGGGGAGGACAAGGGGAGGAGAGGAGAAAGGAGGACAAGGGGAGGACTAGGGGAGGACAAGGGAAGGGAAGGGGAGGGAAGGGGAGAGAGAAGGGGAGGGGAGGGGAGGGTGAAGATATTAGTTATACCCCTAGAGAGAATGTTAAGGGCAAATAGAATTTTTGTCAGAGAAATAAGTTAAAGCAATGTATTTTAATGTAACCCTCTATTTCTTAGCAGCAGGGTAAAAACCCTAACATGAAATTTCAGATATATTTTAATTAAAAGACTGTTTGGGGGAGAGGGTTGGGAGAGAGTACAGCAGCTAACACTAAAAAACAGATTCAGAACAGTAAAACTATAATTACTTAAACAGGTCTCAGTCTTCAACATGAGAAAGACTTTGGTAACTAAATATTAACCTACTGACAACAACCCTGCTTTTCAAGACAAGTATCTGATACTTGGCACTGTTCCATTTGTTTGTGTGTGTGTGTGTGTGTGAAAGAGAGAGAGAGAGAGAGAGAGAGAGAGAGAGAGAGAGAGAGAGAGAGAGAGAGAGAGAGAGAGAGAGAGAGGAGAATTACACTTCCTAAGTTACTAACCTTTGTTGGCCTATTGAAAAGGCAGGCTCCACCCCCTCTCTGTAAAAAGTCTCTATATTCCAAAATGCTGCACTTTGAGAATTTTCTGGAATGGGATACCCTGAGGAAATAAAGAATCAACTATGTAAAAAAGAAGTCCTCGGAGAAGAAAATTAAAACCCTAGATTTAGAACAAAACATTCACTCTGGACTCAGATGATTCCACACAAATTCTGACAAAGTACTTGTGTTCATATCGGCGAAGAAGTATGTGTGATTGAGTTTATAAAAATAATCCGGGGCCACCTCCTCAGCATCCACGCTTTGTCATGCCTGGCCTTCCAAGAGTGTTTGACAAGCTCATTACAGAACCTCTTTGTTAAGTCTGAATTTTAAAATGTGGTCATTTTTTTTTATCTCAGTAAAGTTAGGCACTTTTTTTGCCTCTGTCCTGAATAAACAGACCCCAGGAACCCACCGGATTGTTTTTTTCCTTTTGAGGAGGGAGTTGTAAGGGTCAATTTATTAGTGATTATATAACGCAAGCTTTAGCAAAAACAATTCTGGTAAACAAAAAAACCCTAAAAGGTGTGTTAGACCATGTATGTCTGGGTGTATATGCATTTATGCTTTTAGTGTACATACACACATTACAAACAGAATTAGAGTAAGCTCCTGTGAAAGATACCTCCCTGTTCTGAATCACAAATACTATTATTGGGTGACATTCATGATTTAGTAGGATTACAGTATGAGCTTCTCTATAATTTGATTAATCAAATTACTATCTCTATGTCAGTCAGGACAGAGGGGAATGTTATACACAGTCAAGGTTAAACTAAATCATGCACATTAATTTCTTGAGCATATTTGTAATAGTACTTGATTTGAAATTTGAAAGGCCACTTATGGCAGGAGGTAATCCAATAATTCTCTGTATCCTGATATATGAGGGCAGTGTATGGAAGAAGGTGAAATCTGCCATTGTTGACAGTGATTTCTTAGAAGAACTGTACAAAAATGCGTACTTGAAAAAAATACATATTAATCTCAGTTTTATCATATCCTATATATTGTCTCCAAAAATTCATTTAAAGGGGATCAGATGCAGGGTGATGGAAGATGATTTGACTTTGGATGGTGGGCACACAATGCAATATGAAGATCATATATCATAAAAATTTATAGTTGAAACCTATGTAATCTTATTAACAAATATCACCCCAATAAATTTAATAAAAAATCATTTTGAAATTGGGAGTTTAGATACCTACCTCTATAATATTATACTTTCCTATAGCAGTCCTCCAAAAAGCCTGCTCAAGCCATAATATTACTAAAATATGGTTCAACAGCAAGGAGACCATGCAGTTTCTGTGTTCTAAAACAGCAGGCTCAATGGCTGACTCTCTCTCTCTGCAAACCCTCATGCTCCCACTCCTGTTTGTCCTCTGAACTGAACTCCAGGTGGGAGAATAAGAAAGGGACTCTGTCCAAGCAGTTCAGATTTCTGGGAACTGGGCCTCTTCGGGATGGGGGTAGCACTAGAAATGGCCGATGTGTGGAACAGATGTTGGGAATGGGGCCAAGAAGTAGGGGAAGCACCAGGGTGAGAAACCTCTCCCGTCTATAAGGAGAAGCTTCTAGCTCAGGGGACCTTGGGACAGAGGTTCCTCTGGGCGAAGGGTCCCCGGGAAAGAGAGCAATGTTTCCAGGCCTTGGCGCACAGAAGCAATGGAAGCTCTGGGGCAGAGAAGAGTTAGATGAGAAAATGTACAAATGTCTATCCATAGAGTCTACATAATTTAGACACAGCCTGTCTTAATTTTAAAAAAATTTATTGATTATATACACAATATAGTACAATTTTTATTACAGCAACGTATCTATTGGCGAGTGCCTTAAGATATAAATTGATGATGAAATTGATTTTCACTGACTGCTTCAGGTAGACAACCAGCTTTTATTCTCTAAGTGTACTAAAAAATTAATATCTCTATTCAACTTAGAAGCATTTAATACTGTGCTATCTTTAAGGGTTAATAGACGTAGAAGTAGTTACTATGTCTTACCCTTATCATCAACTTTAAATAAAAAATTAAAGTATAAAGTAAATGAGTCCTTTCATTTTTAAAATATCAGATAATTAATTATTGAATTTATACTAAGTGCTTAGCTTAAAAGACCAGTACCGAGAGATTGTGCATCTAATTACATGCAGCAGTTTCAGTGAAAGACATTCATCAAAAGCACGTATATGCACATTTACCCTGTTTCCTCCATTATGCAGCCTCCCCAGGATTCCGTGCAGTCACATTCTAGTCCAAGGAAACAAAGCAACAGAAGAAAAGAGAAACAACGAAAGTCACATCTGTCATTTGCAGCACAGCTCTTCAATAATTTCTTAATTCTAATTCCACTCATAGGTACAGACAGTGACGTCTCACAGAGCAAAATCGACTTCCTTTAAATCAATATGTCTTCATTCTTTCCAGAAGTAAAGGTCACCTCCTAACAGCGGGCAAGAAATACAATTGTGCCTCTCCTCATTATTGTAACCCGGAGAACTCAATTAAATCCCTTGTTCCAATGTTTAATGAAAAGTACCCTGGTCTGGACAGCAGAGAGCCTGTGCTGTGGTCCACGCTCTCTCCTTGGTGAAAGGGTCCCCTAGGGAAGCGACTTAGCATGTCTTGGGGTTCAGTGTTTCCATCTCTAAAATGGGGAAGGTGTCTCTCTGCTTAGAAGCCAGGGTGTACCCGGGCCTCCCATGATGTGGTAACCTGTGCGCTCTGTTCACTGCACAAATGCAATGAGCCATCATTGTCGTCCTGCTTCCAGAGCATACTGGAAGTGAAAGAGTAATATTTGCTACGGTCAGAACAAGGATCGGCCAGAGACTTGAAATATGCTAGGCTAAAAGGTTTGGTAAAAGAGAGCAATCTAAAATAGACAGGTAAATAATCACTTAAATTAAATAACAACCATGAACGTAGACACCAAAGATTGACATATTGATATTGTGACGGGTGATTCTTGTCACTTATATTTTCCTATTCTCTTTTCTATCATAATTTTAAAGAAAGACGTACAAATTAATTTTTTATATATATAATTAAAAGCTCAGAACTAATAATTATCTGGCTAAACAGACAATTCACAAAGGAATTAAGAATTTTAGGAAGGAACTATGCCAGGCATTCATGAACACTTATTTTTCACCTTATCCCATCATCCAACTCAGTAACACCTCTCAGCTGACCCCAGCACTGGCCTCTTCCTGGCTTCAGGGTTTTCAAATAAGGTGGTAAACTTGGTCCTACACCTTTCTGGTGTTAAGGCATCTAAGCCAGCTGATGAACCTCCTTTCGTGTGTACTGTTTTCTTGGGAAAGCAAATACTCTGAGCAAGATGCTGATAAATGAACGTCTGTGGAGATAAGTGCCACTAGACTTAACATATCCATAATGTGATGCCCACAGAGTATCGAGAACCTCTTGGATATTTACTTTAAGTGTCCATAATACTATGCATTAAGGACAATTCTTTGATAGTAGTCAAATAGTATATAATGTAAATGTTATAGTACATTTCCATTCTTTCCTTCTTTGGGGAGGTTGGGAACCGGGAATATTTACGCCTGGTGTCTTCCATTTCATTCCATTTCATTCCAAATTAAGAGAATAATTTGAGCGAACACCTTGGTCTTTCCTTCCATGGGATTGCATTATGTGAGTCCTAGGCACATTTGCCTTCTACCACAAAATGTATTAGAAATTACATTTTACTATTGTGTTGGTATAAAGAGAAATAGAATCCACACTGGATTTTATTTTGGTTTTTAAAGAAATTAAAAATTTTCATGGACCCCTAACACTACTGTGAGCCTTCGGCACTTTGTCACTGGAAACTCAGGTCTGCTGTTCCATCCACTTCTCGTCTGGTCAATGATCAGAGGAACACCCCCCAAGTCACTGGCTGCATTTTCCTATCGGCTGGGATCCATGGCTGTTTGCACTCCTCTCAACCCTGCCTGCCCCCTAGAGTATAACCTCTACCACATGCCCCATGCTCACCAGGCCCTCGACCAGGGTCCTGTCCAGGAGGCTTCTTCTTTATACTAGGTCTAGTAATAATTAATGTCGTTTCTAATACTTTTTAAAATCGAATTTATTTAAACAATACAACAAAATTTAATCAACAATATAGTTGCCGTTGTTTTCTACTACTGTGCCCAATGCTCAGGAAGCATTTTAATCACTCTGTTGTAAAATTCTTGTGATTTTGATGCAAAAAATTCGGTCAATGCATTTTTGAGGCATTCTTCATTATTAAATTTTTTTCCAAGAAGAAAGTTTTGCAAAGAACGAAACAAATGGTAATCGGAAGGGGCAATATCAGGAGAATATGCAGGTTGAGGGAGAACTTCCCATTCCAACTGGCGCAGTTTTTCAGCAGTGATTCTTGTAGTATGCGGTCGTGCGTTATTGTGGTGAAGAATTACGCCCTTCCGATTAATCAGCGCGGGTTCTTTTTCTCTTAAAGCTTGGGTTAACCTTTCCAATTGGGCACTATACACTGCACTTGTAATGGTTTGGTTAGATGGTAAAAGTTCATAATGAATTCCTTTAAAATTCCACCAAACACACAACATCACTTTTTTCGCATGCAAGTCAGGTTTTGGCATGGGCTGCGGAGCCTCATTTTTGTTTAACCATTGAGGCCGCCTTTTCAAATTAACATACAGCACCCATTGTTCATCTCCGGTAACAATTTGCTCTAAAAACGGCAAACGGTTTTGATGAGAGAGGAGTGAACTGCAAATTGTGACTCTTTGATTATGGTTATTGTCGGTCAACTCATGAGGAACCCATTTTCCAAACTTTTGGACTTTGCCAAGTGCACGCAATTGATTGGAAATTGTTTTTTGTGAACAATTTAAAGTTATCGCAAGCTCTTGTTGGGTAATTTGAGGATTTTGCACCAAAAGAGCTTGAAGAGCTTCTTGATCAAAATTGGACACACGGCCTCGACCACTCTTGTCATCTTAACGAAAAATTTCCCTCGCGAAATTTCTCAAACCAACGCTGGCATTTTCTGGCGCTAACTGCATCTTGACCAAGAGCACTACAGATGTTTTTTGCACCCTCACTTGCTTTTCTTCCTAATTGGAACTCGTAAAGCATGCAGTGCCGAATATGCTCTTCATCCGCCATCTTCTTAGCCCTAGTTTTGCAACAAAAACCAAACCAAACACAAACTTTTTCAAGCAAAACTTGTTAATTGCACTTCACACGTTCTGTAGATACCACGTGTTTGAAGGTTATGTCAATGGAAGTCAACGCCAAGCAAGATTTTAAACGAATGTTTAAAAACGACATTAATTATTACTAGACCCGATAGTTTCTTGCTGGGACTGGTGGAAGAGTTTAATTAGAGTTAGGTAGGGAGGTGAGTTGAGTCTGAGCTCATTTTTTACTCTAGATCTAAGCTATTTCCTGATCCACTTGTACTCTTATTAAACTAGTGAAGGAGCCTCCTCCATGGGGCATCATGTATCTATACTCAGGTGGTTAGGACCCAAAGGTGAGGTGTCACCACCTCAACACTCCACAGTAGGAGAACACTGATCACACTCTGAGAAAGCGAGTATGTTTTAGGGACTTAAAAAAAAAAAAAAAAAAAAAAAAAAAGACATTTCTACAACCCAAACATAATGAGAATTACCTTAAGTTGCTCATCTTATCATTGTTTTAGAGGAAGGAGATACACTGCAGTTAGACTACAATGACTTAGAAAAGAAAACTATGTATTTGTTAACTGGTCATGCATTACACAGACATGTAAGTGAGCAAGAAGGCTGGCGTACATACTTGGCTTCCTGCTAGAAGGTTCCCATTGGATTCCAAGGTTTTGAGCCAGGCTCTGCGATAATACTTGTGCCACTGCCATTGGAAGACCATACTGTTTTTCAGAGTTGAAAGTGTGTGGGAAACATTTGAGAGAGTGCACAACACTAGTTATTATTTCTTCATCATCACCGTGTAACATCTCAGTCCCCTAGCTAGAGCCTCACAGCATCAGAAAGCACCATCTGCCCCTGTATCACTCCTTCCTGGCAACTGGGCCCAAGAAGCAGAAAGCCTCGGTGACTACATGGCACCTCCCCAAACTAGATGCTCTTCTCCTCTCACATGGCATCGTAACATACAAGTCATAAAAGGTTGTGCCCCAACTCAACTCCTATCCAAGAATAAATTAAACTTCCTAGAAGTGTATCAAGAGGACTCCACGGAAGGATGGTTATGAGGATAAGCTGGAATACTCTGGTATGGATGAAGGTTTAGATACAGTTGGTTCGGCTCTTCAGGTGCTACTGCCAACTGTTACCAGAATTTTCTTTACGTAAATGAAGACACTGAGATTAAGGAAATAATTGCTTCAATTACCTCTATAGATAGGTAGGTAGAAGGCATAAATATAAAAAAAATTTACATAGGGACAAAACAGAGATGCTGAGTAGATACAATCACAAATTCTTTTATATAAATGAGTTAAACCTAACTTGGGCAAAAGAGCATTATAATTGTCAAAAATAATTGTAAGGGATTAACAAGCTCGTAAAAAAGTATCTATAGAGGCCAAAAAACCTCTTTGGCTTGTACTTGCCTGATAAATAGGAGAACTGTCATTATGAAATGAAACAATACCTCTTTTCTTACAAGGCTTATTATTATTATAAACATTCATGTTATATTCTTGTCATTATCCTTCTAAACAGGCCAGAGGAAGGATGTAAACTGGGCCACGGGATGGGGCAGGGGGAGGGAAGGGATCAGATCAGATGCAAAGATAAAGCTCTACTTTAAGAACACTGCCAAATTTTACCTCATTCACACCAACTCCCCTTGTGCGAGAACAGACACCTCCGAAGTAACTCAGGCTGCTTCTCTTATAGTGGAATGTCACGCGCCTTAACGGAGAAAACCAGTTTTAGGAAGCCAGTGTAGTGACCATCACATAAGCTCTCCCAAAACATGTCTACTCTCCTACATTGAATAACCCCACATCATCCTCCTTCACAATAATCAAAAACTGCATTTTAAAAACAGTGAAATTTAAGCTGTCATAAAAACCTTTACATTTTACCTTATGCTAATCTCAGTGGAGCAAATATTAACTGAACCCCTACTAAGCACTATGTACGAGCTCAGGATTGAGGACACAAACTCTTGATTTTCTTCCAATAGAGACTATCCAGTAGTTATACAAAATATTGCCGACTATTATAAAATGTTGATTAAAGACTGGAAGAAAAGATAGTAAACAGTAAAGGTGAGAGGAAAGGAAGGAAACTTTGATTGGCTTGATGCCAGGACAGAACCTTAGAGAACTGTCTGAAAACAGCCTCATCGTAAGTGAGCAACACCTATTACACACCAGAAAATATGGTACCTCTGTTTCTTAGTGATAGAAGTTCAATTTCATTCAATAATTCACTTGTAAAGTCTATGTTTCCTAGCCTCTCTTGCAGCTCAATATGGCCATGTCAGTAAGATTTCGCAGCCCTGGCCTGTGTTCCTCAGCAGTTAGAGCTTAGGCCCACTCACCTAACAGTCTCAGATTCGATGGCCAGTCAAGGGTTCATCCCTGGCACAGTTGGGGCACATGTGAGAAGCAACCAATTGATGTGTCTCTCTCACATCTATGTCTCTGTTTTTCTCTCACTTTCTCTTCCCCTTCCTCCCCTCCACTCTCTCTAAAAAATCAATGGAAAAAATATCCTCAAGTAAGGATTAAAAAAAAAAATTAAAAAATTATTTCTTGGTGAAACTGATGCGAGCATGCTTTCAAGGAATCTGCTTCAAATGAACTAATTCAGCTGGAAGACATGCCCTCCTACAGTCCTCCAGGACCATAATTCCTGCCTTGTAATGGAGGCTGGAGCACCAGCAGCCACCTTGAATTAGGAGGTGACCTTGTGGATGGCAGGTCTGAAGGTAGCGATATTCTCTGAAGGTAGATCTAAGGACTATAGAACCAGCCTCCCAGCACCAGACAGCCTACCTCCATGCTTCTCATTTAATGGAGAGAGGAATCAACATCACTTTATTTTCTTCTTTTAATATATTTTATTGATTTCAGAGGGGAAGGGAGAGGGACAGAGAGATAGAAACATCAATGAGGAGAATTACTGACTGGCCGCCTCCTGGATGCCCCCTACTGGGGATCAAGCCCACAACTCAGGCACGTGTCCCTGACTGGAATGGAACCTGGGACCTTTCTGTCCGCAGGCTGATGCTCTATCCATCAAGACACACCAGCTAGGGTTCAACATCACTCTAGTTCAAAATTGATATGTTGATATAGAACTTAACTCATACAATAAAGGGATAAAGACCAACGTCAAACCAAAGCTGGCGGGCACGTACGAGATGAGATGCACAGCATCGGCGTGCTGTTTGATACGCTGCTGCCGGTATTTGGAGAATTCATGGAGCATCTGCACAAGGTTGGTGGTGATGTCGATGTGATCCTTCTCAGTCCAGGTCTCCACAGCCACTAGGACAACCCTGGTATTGAGCTGCTCCTTGTAAATCTGAGGGGACACAACAGGACAGGTGCAGGAGACAAACACTGGGTCAAACGTGCACAATCAGTGACTCAGAGGAGTCAGTGGGAAGATGGGAGGGAAGGGGAGAAGAGAACACGAGGTCATAACTAGCACATCAGAGAGCATCTTCATTTCCTTTCCATTTTCCAAGAGCAAAATATAAAAATGAACAATCACACAATCTGGCCTCTGCTATAAGATTATTTCCATCTGAAATCAGCACAGTGAGTGGCCAGGCATCTCCCTTCAGGATAGATAGGAGGGATGTCAGGATTCTGAAGCCTGGATGTAAATTCCAAACAGCGCTCAGAAAAAAGCACCCTCCAAAACCTCATGGGAGGTAACAGGTTGGAACCGCGTCCATCAGCCCTGGGTAGTGTAGTATGACCAGATATTCCTGCAAGACTGGAACAGATCACTAAATCCTTGGATGAACACCAACCGCATGGCTGGCTCGCCCTCAGATGCTTTGTGAAATGAAAAGTAAAACAGCACTGGGAAAGAACCCCAGCTCAGAGGCCAGCAGAGGAAAGAGCAGATTTGTATCACCATTTCACCTTCACCACAGGGTGGCATCACTCACAGCACTTCCATTGTGTCTCTCCCGCTCTCTTTTCTCTGCTTCAGGCCCGGCTGCTAAATAATTCACATAATTAAGCAATTTCAATGAATGTTGTCATTTTGTCCTATTTTCAAGCTAATTAAGAAAATAACGGCTGACCTTTGAACACACTGCGGAGCGGGAGGCGCAGCACGCCTAAATCAACCTGAAGCAGAAATGATTTTTGCGAGGAGCAAGTGAAATGTAATGTCTTTTCAAAATCAATTGTTCAGCTTCAGAACCTTATATGGCAATCCAAAATACAAATTACACTTTGCAAGATGTGATTCGGTTCAATCATGCTGAAATGACTAACAGAGGAATGCTGCCAAGTAAACAGCTTTGGCAGGAGGAAAGGTGTGTTTAATATTCTCATTTCCATATTCACTTATAATTTTCCTCTCAGAAGACTGACAAGAGCTGAAATTAAAGGAAACCAGGTACAAAGTGGCTTTCAGAATTTCAATCCTAACTCCATATGACGCTCTGTGCCCATCCAGCTGTGCCTACCAAGCATTCTAGGCTAGGAGTCTTTAAAAGGTTGGGGGTTTTAGACTGTTTAAAGGGTAGAAAAGAAAGTAGTTCTTTGGAGAAAATAAGTATCATTTTAAGTATTCAGCAATTTATAAAAAGGTTCCCCAACCCCCTAGTTAAGAGGGAACATAACAATAAATATCAGATAAAAATATATTCAGCTGAACAAAATAGCACTTAACATTAGCATGCACAAAATAGTATGCTATCTTTAATTGATGACTAGTCTAATGAACAATTTATTGGAACACAATGAATAATATTCACATCTATGGAGTGCCTACCTAACAGGAAAAAGCAAAGAAAAATCTTAACTACCATTCCCTGTAATTTACAAAATAAGAGAAAAAATTATCCATATAAAAGTTTTTAGTTTGAGGTCTTTGTAAGGAGATATGTATTTTACTGTTTCAAATTAGTTTTGTGTGGGGACACACTGAATTCTGTCACCTGGAAATGAAGTCTGAAGCATTCTACTAAGGGGAACAGTAAGAAGATAAATTTGAGTTCTTTTAAAAAAGTTATTTTTGTATTTCCTATACCCTTCAAACATGATCCACCTCAGCTTATGAGAGTGCTTCTGCCATATATTTAAGTCAATAAGCTCAATTGATTACTATGAACAAAGTCTCCTTTGTCAGGTTGAATTGACACTCTTCTTGGTAGCTCATTTGCTCCAGTATTTTTGTCCTCCTTACACTCTGGAGACAATGAGGTCCAGACATCACTTAGAAGCAACTCTCATGGATTTTTGGAATTCCATGAATAACTCAACAGTCCCCCTGAAACTCTGACAACACCACTCTTTGTGAAGCAGACCACTCCATAATCCCTCAGCCAGATGAACTGAAGGATGGCATTTTTACTTTTACTCAAGCAAGAACTAAAGGAACAAGTACGCACATAGAGAGAGAAAGCATTTCTTTCGCCTTGGAAACAGAGGTTCAAGAAAACAGGGATACGTACAGAATCTACGAGGTTGACCACAGACTTTGCAAAGTTGTTGGTGTGCGCATGAGAAGAGCGATACTTCTTGTACTGGAGAGGAAAATAGATACACCAGTCACTGCCAAATCATAATTTGTTTTTCTTTCTATTGAAAGGATTGGGGTGATACTGGTTAGCATAATTATACAGATTGTATGTGCACAATTCTATAACACATCATTTGTACACTGTATTGCGTGTTCACCACCCCAAGTCAAGTTTCCACCCATCACCATTTATTCCCCCTAGACCCTCCTCTACTTTCCTCAACCTCCTACCCCTGGCAATCACCACACTGTTGCTCATGTCCTGACTTTTTCTAATTTCCCCCCCTCTTTTGCTTAATCCCTCCATCTCCTCCCCAGCACCACCTTCCCCTCCAACAGTGGTCAGACTGCTCTCTATCTATGAGGCCATCACTGCTCTTCGGAACAATATGGAGGGACCTGGAGAGCATTATGCTGAGTGAAATAAGCCAGTCCGAGAAAGACAAGTTCGATATGATTTCATTTACATGTGGCATCCAATGAACAAAACGAACCAAACATAATTTAATGGTAAATATAAAAATTCTATAAAAGCAGTAATCTCATAGCAGCAGTAGAAATTGGGGATTAAAAATACATGATTTAGTGGATATGGTGGTGTTCTTATTCAATTTCTGTGTTAGGCAGCAAAACTCTGATGATCTATAACACCTAGGATATTCCAGGTAACACAGAGGGCCGATGGAAATACGTGTGAGAAGCTTTACTCCTGAGAAGGAAGTTATTTCAGTCTTAATGTCTTATAAATACAACCCTTTCATTTTCAATGAAACGACTTTCCCAGCTTATAACGGGCTTACATTATGATAAATTTAGTCCTAATTGAAAACCCTCCTCACTTTAAACTCAAGGCCATACACAGATCAAGAAAATTTCTTAGGTAACACTTTAAATATTGTCCATGATATGGAATGTATCTGTCATCCATTCTAATCTATTCTTTCAGAAGGATGCCTCCTCCAAATGAAGCCTTTTGCTTTTGACTGCTGAAAATTAGAACAAAGAAGAGACATAAAGTAAAAGTGAAATGTGAAGATAGCATTTGAGAAAAAAATAAATTAATGGAAGAATTGTGAAACAATATCTGAAGGGCTATAGTTTTAGCAAGTAGTAGTTTGCTTAGAATGTCTTAGAGAGGATATTTAAAAACAAAAATCTACACAGTGGGGTCATGCCCTCTATTGAGCAAAAAGAACAAACATTCCCAAATTACCAAATCAAATTTGCACCATAAGTTTTAAAATTGTGCTTCAATTATAACTATTAAAATAATGCACCTTTCATAAAGATTAAAAGCATTTCCACATTGGAAAACCATGATATACTTTTTTTTCTCCTTTTCCACTTTCACATTATAAATGTATTAGACTCTCTCCATGTCATTCTTTAACTCTATATTTTTTACTATATTTTTAAACAAAGAATATATATTTTAATGCTTATATTTCTGGCATTTATTTTTTATACTACTAAGCACACTAACCAGTTCATGGTAAATGTTCAATAAATTAGTATTGTGTTTGTTATTAGTAGCATTCCTTAATTTATATGTCTATAAATACAACCCTTATATTTACAACATTTGCTTTGGTGTGAACGTTTGCATCTACCCCAAAATTCATATGTTGAAATTCAAACCCCCCAAATGATGGTATTAGGAGGTGGAACCTTTCTAAGTACTTAGGTCATGAGGGTAGAGTCCTCATGAATACGGTGAATGTCTCTATAAAAGATGGTCCAGGAAGGTGCCCTAGTCCCTTCCACCATGTGAAGACACAGAAGGACATTTTAACAGGTTTGTGTGCGTGTTTTGTTTGTTTTTTTTAACAAATGGAGCATAAAGAAGTTGCTATAAGTAGCTCAGCATTTTAAGTTGCCTATTAAACACACACACACACACACACACACACACACACACACTCTTTATTGTTGAAAGTATTACATATGTCCCCTTTTTTCTCCCATTGACCCATTAGAGACCCCTCTCCCATCCCCACTCCAGGCCTCCACTACCCTACTGTCTGTGTCCATGGATTATGCAAATATGCATGCAAGTTCTTTGGTTGGTCTCTTTCCACCTCACTCCCCCCTTCCCCTCCTCCCACTGAGATTCATCAGTCTGTTCCATGCTTTATGTCTCTGGGCCTATCTTGTTCATCAGTTTATTTTGTTCATTAGATTCCACATTTGAGTAAGATCATGTGGTATGTGTTGCCTGTCTTTAAAAGTAAAAGGCAAAAGTCTCTTTGGGGTGATGAAAATGTCTGGGATTAGATAGAGGTAATGGCTCACCACTTAGTAAAGGTACTAAATACCACTGAATCATATACTTTTTAAAATATATATATCTTATTGATTTTTTTACAGAGAGGAAGATAGAGGGATAGAGAGTTAGAAACATCGATGAGAGAGAATCATTGATCAGCTGCCTCTTGCACACCCCAAATTGGGGGTGTGCCCGCAACATCTATAGAGGCTATGAAAGGTGAGAAGAGAGAATAAAAATATGTCTCCTAGGCTTAGAACTTGAATAGCTATGGGGATGGTGGTGCCATCTAAAATAATGAGAGAAACTAGGAGAACCTCACTTTAAACTCAAGGACTTCAATTATAAAACAATAAAAATACAACAGAAGTTTAGGACCCAGGAACCAAGAGTCCTGATTTAGAAATGTTAAAGTGAGATGCCTATTCAATATGAAAGTACAGACGTCAAGTAAGCAGTTGAATATGTAACTATAGAACTCAGAAGGTAAGAGGTATGAAGAGTGATGAGTTTAAGTCATGATTATTATTTGAAGACTTGAGTCTGGAAGTGGTCATTTTGGGGGAGAGTTATAGAAAGGAAACAGAGCCCCAAACCAAGCTGTAGGGCACTCTTATAATTCTAGAGGTCAGAGGTGAGAAACTTAGAAGAAACGGCCTGTGAAGTGGGTGAGCCGTTGTGTCACAGAAGCTGAGAGATGAAGAAAATGCTTCAAACAGGAGGGAATAATCATTTGTGTCCAGTGCTGCTGAGAGAGTGGCCAAGTAAGATAAGGACACGGTGAGCATTAGGATTTGTTCACTTGAATTTCTAGTTAATTAACCACATACCATGTACTAGGATCTATGATAAGTCTTTCTCTTACAAGAAATATTTGTTCCTCATCACTCTATGAGGTGGGTTTTATTATCCCCGTTTTATAAATATCCTCTCAGAGCCTTACTTTCCATAAGTAAAAATAGCCACAACCACACAACTGGAATTCAATGGCTAATTAGTCTGGATTGAGATAGGAAATAAACTTGTTCAGTCAACAATTCTTATAAAAGAGTTTATGCATATTCCTAATAAATCATGATTATTAATAAGAACTCTCAATTTATTAGGTACCTACAAAATATAGTAGTTTTCCACTACGTTTTACTTCTAAAACTAATATGGAATAATATTGAATATAAACTGTAATTTTAAAATAAAATAAATAACATAATAACTTTTAAATGAAAAAAAAATGAGGTTTAAATTGAAAAATATTTTAGCTATTACATTTTCACTTACTGACATACACATAAGAAAAGAGCAATAAGTGTAAGCAAAACATTTTTCATGCACTTTAAAGTTATTTCAACCATTTTTCAATTAGAATATGGTTTTTAATATTTATGTTTCGATTTCTGGCTCAAAGAAATGTTTGCCGACCCTTATCAAGGCTATAATTGGCTCACAAATTAGGTTCCGCCAGCCAGCTACTAAGATGCTTCTACAAAATTGAGGGATTTTTTTTTTTTGTCTAATAAAATCCACTGATATGAATATGATGTTTGTTCAAAATAAGATATGGGCTTTTTTTCCCCAGGAAGCCAATATTAGGTTACTCTGCATTAAAAAAGTAACCTTGAATATAAATGTAGTGCAATATTTCTATTTCCTTGCATGAATGAGAACTAATTTTGTATACTAAGAAAAGTGTTCAATCTCCATTTATCATAAAAGTTACTTTAACATGTTCTGATGACTGAAAATAATTCACATTTAAAGTGCCACATTTGCCTTTTCTTCATAAACACATACAATCCTTAAGAAGTTTGTTTTCTAAAAATATTAGAGCTTGATTTTCAACCTAAGGGTGACATGTATCAACATAACTGTGCTGCCTCATTTAGCACAAAGATTATAAGATGAGTACTCTTAGTGGGATCATTATTCCAAAACCCAGTAGCAAATCTCCAGATATTGAAAAGCAGATGTAAATTATTCTAGTTCAGTTTGTTAAATCAAGCTTTTTTTTTCCCCCCTCAAAGAGCCAGGTGTTAAAACATTTACCAACATGCCAAAATTATTGGGTATACTAACAAATAGCCTAGTGATTAATGCTCTAAGCTTCAGCCAACATATTTTATAAGAGAAATGGTTAAGCCCTGTTCAGTGGCTTAGTTGGTTAGAGCATCATCCCATATTACTGGGTCTCAGATTCGAATCTCAGTCAGGGCACATATCCAGGCTTCAGGATATCTTGTTTGGGGAGAGTATGGCAGGCAACTGACCCGTGTTTCTCTCTCACATCGATGTTTCTCTCTACTTCTTTCTCTCTAGAATCAATGAAAAACATATTCTTGTGTGAAGATAAGAGAGAAATGGAGAATAGAATATGGTTAAGAAGGTCTCTACTTTATCTTTGCGAGAAGCCAATGGAGAGTAATAACTATTTTTATATATATCTTTTTTCATATATCTTTTAAGTGTTACTTAAAACCACATTGTTTCACATTTTACTTTGACCTTCATCTTTCTAGTATTTAAATAATCAGTTAAAGATAGTTTCTTTGGGTATATCTTTATTACATATGCTTACTTCCTATAATTGTATCTGCTATAAAAAATAATTAGTAAGGAAAAATAACATGCTATCAGAACAAAGAAATGGAATAAAATTAGAAAGCAGTGACTAAATACATAAAGTAGAGAATAAGAATTTTAAATGAAGATAAGTAAGAAATGCCACACAGTTAAATCCATCAATTACAATCATTATTAAACAGAGGAAGTTGAGAGTTCTGCAATTTCTATAAAACCCAGTGTTCCAAAACACCATACAATAAAGGAAGTCATTTGATATTTCCAAAAAATGAAGCATCTAAGTATCTTGCTTTTAAAAAGTCACAAATAATAATTGAATATAAAATGAAGTGTACTCTTTTCTCAAATAAGCTGTTGGGTTCAAAACCCATTGGTTCTATACTCTTACCGTTTTGTGATCATTAACAATCATAAGTTCCAAATATTTCATTTCTTCAAACACACCACGAGATGGCTGTAGAAAATAAAAATGTATGGTCAGAGCTAATAGCACCTTCTCTGAGGATTGCTTAGTTGTATGTTGTCTATGAATTTCAGTAGAACTCTTTGCTGCCTATTTTATAAACACCCTTGAAGAATCTTGCTCAGAAAAATAGAAGAAAAAAGTGACCATAAGGTGTGAGTGAACATTCAAATAGTCAGAAAAGAACAATATCTAAGTATCATTAAAGTACTCATTAAGACAGAGAACAGAGCCCCATGTTGTTTTTATGTGATTTCTATATGTAAAAATATCCTAGAGAAAAATGTACAGTATAATTCTGTAAAAGTAAATAATATCAATTAAGATGTAACAAAAATTCACATCTATTAAAATTTCAAGGAAAACCTATGTAACAAGAATAGTAGAGCTCATCGAGAAAAGTTACCAATGTAGTAAAACAGAAAACTTAACTCAGTGGAGTGAGATTCTAATAATTCTATATAATGAAGAGGTAATATGCAAATTGACCCTTATACTCTCGCACAAGATAGCCAATCCTATGTGGTCAAAGATGGCCAGCAGGAGAGGGTAGTTGAGGGTGATCAGGTCAGCAGGGGAAGGCAGTTGGGGGCGACTGGGTCTGCAGGGGAGGGCAATTAGGGAGGTCAGCAGAAGAGGGTAGTTGGGGGTGACCAGGCTGGAAGGAGAGAGCAGTTGGGGGCAATAGGACTTGCAGGGGAGCAGTTAGGCATTGATAAGGTTGGCAGGGGAGTGGTTAAGGGGTGATCAGGCTGGCAGGCAGGTGAGTGGTTGGGAGCCAGCAGTCCCAGATTATGAGAGGGATGGGCCTAAACCAGCAGTCAGACATGTCCCAAGGGTTCCCAGATTGAAGAGGGTGCAGGCTGGGCTGAGAGACCCTCCTGCCCAGTGCATGAATTTTGTGCACTGAGCCTCTAGTAATGTACTAATTCTTAAACACACAACTTCTCACAGGAACAAATGCTAATAATTATAATATTCTAAATGTTTCCAGATTTTTATTATTACTAGATAATCCTTTAGGAGCAAGAGCTAAATATGTTAGCCATTATTTTGGACTTCTATTTCTTTTTTCTAGTAGAAAACTACAAGGTCACTGATCATTTTACATTTGGTAGGGGTGGACTTTAGAGAAATGTCATTAACCTATGTAAAACTTATTATTACCAACGTCATCTTTAACAGTAAGAAAAACATAACTCTATTATGAATAAAAAGAAAAAAACATAAACATGTATCCATAATCACCATAACACAAAGATAGGATCATAAAAAAAAGGATGATTCCACCTATAACTAGGTTTTTGATAGCTGGAGATCTAATTTTTTCACACACAAAAACACATTCACCAAAACTTTATCTAAAATGTACAATTTCCAGGATAATTACTTATTAAATTATTTAGTAAATTACCATGCAATCTATATGCTGTGGAATTAATTCTTGGTTACATAGCATTCACCATGTAATTACTAGACAGTCCTGATCATTACAGCCTTCTAATCTATTATGAAAAAGACTAAGAATATAATTTCAGTTACAAAGCCTCTATACAAGTATCAATACATGGGAGCCAAAAGACAATTGTTGATTATATAATTACATGATTCTTATTTAATAACTATCATAATGCTAATGGTCAAGTAGATTCATTCTGTTCAGAAAAACACATCCAGCTTCAAAGTTCGGTATAACAGAGTTTTTAATTTGAAAGAAATAAAAATAAGCATTATTAGCCAACATTTAAAAACCTAACTCCTTCCCCTATTTCTCTTAACAGAAATGTTTTATATGATGCTATACAAAACATATTTTAAAAGTCAGCTATATTTTCAATAGAAAAATAGACACTGTGATTTTCATTTAAAAACAGAGCTAAAATAATATATTCCTTATGTGACCACTAGGGCTCAGAGAACACCGGAATCAGTTTATTACTGTAAATAGGGAAAGATGAATAAAAAGCAATATGCCTATAAAACTCAAGGTTTGGGAGGGTTTGGGCTTGCTGTTTTTGTGTGTCAGATGAAGTTGCCCAATTCAAAGTGTTTTAGGTACACTAAATACTGTATGAAGACAGGCAACAATTTACGTAGTGAAATGGCCCCCTGTGGCTTAATGCCACACTCACATTCACTGCTCTCTTCCTTCTCCTTTTCAACCACTGTAATTCAGATAGAAAGGGCCACTGATCACTGTTTTCCACACCTGAATAAAAAAAAAAAAAGGAATATCAGAAATTATGCTCGACTGTACTTCAATGGGAGTATGTTTTTCAAATATTCTACGAAGGCAGAGCAGCCTGGAGAGCATACTTCCTCTAAAATCAAAATGAAGGTGGAAAACGCATACCAATCAATAAACACTTCATAGTCTCACAGTCACAAATATACTTCAATTTGTAATTAATAAATCATAATATAATTCAAACATAATTTTCTTCCAAATACCATCAATAACATAATGAGCTTTTCAAGACTCATTGGAATATGCATATTTGACTTATAACTACCTGACCCTCAATTTCTGAAAATTTAAGAGCATTCTACAGTTTAGTATATATTAAGTATATAGTTCATTTTAGAATTAAAAATAATGTATGCCATGCCCTTGCTGGGTGGCTCAGTTGGTTGGAGCACTCTCCCGTACACCAAAAAGTTGAGAGTTCGATTCCCAGTCAAGGAGCATACTGGAAGCAATGCATCAAACTTTTTCTCTCATATTGATGGTTCTCTTTCCCTCTCTCGCTCTCTCTCTCTCTCTCTCTCTCTTTCTCTCTCTCTCTCTCTCTTTTACACTCTCTGTCTCTATCTCACTTTTACTCTCTAATCAATTAAGAAGCATATCCTTGGGTAAGGATTAAATAAAAAAATAATAATGTATGCCATAAGCTTTTGCATAAATTATTAAAGACTATTGGCATCAGTATACAGAAGTAGTAACATCACGCACTACAATAATCCAAAAGAAGCTTTTGCAAATCAGCATGCTTAAGATCCCTCAGAAAGAGACATAAAAGAGAGACAATGCAAGTTGGCTGAAGAGCAGTAAACTGCCAAGGATATTTAAGTATGAGCCTCACTGTAAATCACTCCTAAATTTGGCCTTACTCTCTGGTTCCTAACACAGCCATATTCCCGGCTTCATTTTTCAGTCTCTCCGTGGAAAACTATCCACATCTCAACACATGAAAGCCACCATTCACCCCACAACCCACCACACTGTTCACTCTGGATCTCAAGTCAGCTCTGCTTCCCAGCAAGCCTGTCTGTCTACCTAGCTCCACCAAGTCACAGCTCCTATCAGGCAAAACAGAATGGCTAGTTGGATTAAAACTTACTGAGGTTCTTCATTTGCTTAGGAAATTGTCCCGCCAAGGTTTTCTGGATTATATGTGGTCGTCCTGTGCTTTTCTGAAACAAAAACAATGGCAGACAATTGAAAAGCAGGATGTGATTATACCTCTACAGAATAGTATTAGAATTTTCCTTAATAGCATTCCTAGAATCGCTAATGTTTTAGCTATCAAGAATTAAAAGTATAGCCCAGCCAACATGGCTCCGTGGTTGAGCGTCAACCCATAAACCAGGAGGTCATGGTTTGATTCCCAATCAGGGCCCCTGAGTTTGATTCCAGGTTGTAGGCTTTGATCCCTAGTATAGGATGTGCAGGAGGCAGCTAATTGATGATTCTCTCTCACCACTTTTGTTTCTCTCCCTTTCTCTCTAAAATCAAATATATATATTTACACACACACACACACACACACACACACAGAGTGACCAGATTATTATGATCTCTGAATGCATAATCTGGCCACTCAGTGTATATCCTATATAATAAAAGGCTAATATGCAAATTGTCCCCTCAACCAGCAGGCCGGCCAACTGTCCATGTCCCCTCTCCCTGGCCAGGCTGGCCAGACCCCACTCATGCACGAATTAATGCACAGGGCCTCTGATATATATATATATATATATATATATATATATATATATATATATATACACACACACACACACACACACACACACACACACACACTTACACACTGAGTGGCCAGATTATTATACATTCAGAGATCATAATAATCTGGCCACTCAGTGTATTTTCACTTAGAGAATGAAAAATATATGTTGTATTGAAACTTCAAATAGAATATCATCCAACTGTTCCAGCTTAGAAAAAAGCAATAGTCTTATTAGCTACTCTTAAGTCTGAGCTTTCTCCAAAGACATGAATAGGATATTCCTAAGAAAGAAACACAAATAGTCAGTGCATTTATGAAAAAATGATGAATTCTTTAATATTTCATCAAAACGAGAAAAAAAAGTTTAAAGATATACAAATTTGTGCCTTCAAGTTGGCAAAGGTTTAAAGATTATGATAACCAAAGTTAATTATAGCTACAAGGCAAAAAGTACTCTTCTACACTGCTGGTAGAAGAAAATTGGAAGCATAGTTCAAAAAGAAATTTAGCAATTCTATCAACAGCCTTGAAAACATTAATATCCTTTCCCCTAGAAATTACACTTCTAGAAATGACTTATTTCCATGACTATTACTACTATTAGCTCCCATTACTGGGTGCATTGTATGTGCCAGGCACTGTTAATGAACACATTACGCAATTTAATTCTCACAAGAACTCCATACAGTGCATATTTCATCCCCATTTTACAAATAAAAATATGGAAGCTCAGAGAGCTATGTTATTGAATTAAAATTATATTACAAATAATGATCCAATTTATTTTTAAGTATGTGGGGATATATCTTGGAAAAGTGAAAGAAATTCTCTGAAAAGTGAAGTTATTTCTGGGGGATAGGATGATATGTAATTAGTGTTTTGTAAAGATTTTGCTTATTTTTGCTTTTCTGAATTTCCTATATCAGTCTTATAATCAGAAAATTGGTTTTTGAAAAAGCTTTCTTAATAGATTACACAAAAGGCTTATAATAATTAAAGAGTTTTAGTATCCATTCACTGTTTAGCAGATAACAAATTCTCATTAGAAGCATCCTTCCTTATTATTTGAGTTATTATAAGGCATACTAAAATTAATAATAATAAACAAACTATCAAAAAAATTTAAAATTGAGTAAACTCTTAATTCCTGGAAGAGGTGAAAAAATGCCTAGAGTAATGACACAACTAGTTTAGCAACACAATTTTAAAACTAATTTAAAGTTTTAAGTGCTTCCCTCCCCTGGTGGTGAAGATAAGGACAAATTGCTACATGAAGTGATAGAAGTCAAACAGAGAAAGACAATTACCATATGATTTCACTTATATGTGGAAACTACACACACACACACACAATAAGTGAACAAACAAAATGGAAAACAGACTCCCAGATACAGAGAACAGACTGATGGCTGCCAGATGGGAGGGGTGTTAGGAGGTGGGTGGAAAAGGGAAAGGGATTGAGAAGTACAAACTGGTAGTTACAGAATAGTCATGGGGATGTAAAGTGCAGCACATGGAATATAATCACTAATGCTGTAATAACTATGTACGGTGCCAGGCGGGTACTAAGTGTATCAGGGGGACACTTCCTGAGTTATGTAAGTCTCACCATGATGCACCTGAAACTAATAGAAAACTGAATGTCAAGTGTAACTGAAAAAAGTAAAAATGAAAATTGGAGGACAAGGTAGGCAGTAAGAAAGGAGGCAAAAAGTAAATAGCTCTGAGCATGTAACAAGCAATCCTGGAAGGATAGAGTTATGGACATAACGATGCAAAGTCAATGCTATAACTATTAGGATAGCAGCAGCTTATATTTATAAATCTCCTTAATAGTTTGGTAGATACAATGACATACATTTGTTAAGTCATCAAATCTACAAAATTGCCCTATTAGAAATGTCTTAAAAAATAATCTCAAGGCTTTAAAAAACACACAAAACTCTACTAAGGCTTAGGGGGTTGCTATTGTAATAAATTTGAAAGAGGGGGAGAAGGGGAGGGAGAGAGGGAGGGGGAGGGGGAGAGGGATGGGGAAGGAGAGGGGGAGGGATATCAATGCATTGCCTTCTGCAAGTGGCCCAGGAGGGGATTGAATCCACAACTTGGGGATATGCCCTGATGGAAACTGAACATCCCCCCCACCATCATCATCTTTCAGTACATGGGATGACTCTCCAGCTAACCGAGCCACACTGGTTAGGGCAGGGAGTTATTTTTTGGTTTTGTTCTGTAGGTTTTACTTTATTTTGTTTTTTGGGGGGGTAAGAGGGTATTAATTAATGCCAGAAATCAAAGTTAATTTTTCACTGAACTCATCAAATTATTTTGCTATATACAGGTTTTCTACCTACCACTGTAGGACAGGACAAACATTTTACTTAATCAAAATGTGTTTATCTAGGTGGTGTTGTCTCATTATCTGTTTTTACAGTTACCAGTTGAAAAATTATTTAGGATTATTCACCATTTAAAATTTAGTGACTTTTCTGTCTCAAATTTGAAACTTCCCATATTCATACATTGCCACAACAAAGAAATAAAATGTGTCCAAATGTTATTATCAATAATCTACATACATGACTATTACCGGTTTCTTTTTTAAAATATATTTTTATTGATTTTGGGGAGATAAGGAGAGGGAGAGATAGAAACATCAATGATGAGAATCATTGATCAGCTGTCTCCTGCACACCCCCTACTGGGGATCCAGCCCACAACCCAGGCATGTTCCCTGACAGGGAACTGAGCTGTGACCTCCTCTGGTTCATAGGTCAATGCTCAACCAATGAGCCACACCAGCCGGGCTACCTGTTTCAAAATTTATTTTTTCTACATTTGAAATCTCTAAAGATCAAAATAATTTTCTGCTCCCCATCAAATGATTGCAATATTCTGATCCTATCACTCTCACAATATTTTCCCAGTAGCAGTGCTTTTCACTGACATAGCAGTGCTTCCCTACTGTTACTTCTCAGTGCCTTCAAAGCTACCATCCCCCTCCCCGCTTTCAACTCCTCTCCAACTTGGGTTCCTTTAACTTCCTACAACACACTGGGAACAGTCCTGCTCAGGGCCTTTGATTGGCTCTTCTCCTGAAATTTTCTTCCAACTCCTTAATGTCTTAAAGGTCTTCATTCAAAACTATAATACTATCCCACTGTGCTCTTCCCTGGATAGTTACAGTGAAGGTCTAACTCCATTCGGTTTCATTTTTAACCCTTAGCATGTATCACTGTCTAATATACCATATGTAACACCCAGCCTTGTTATTCCTGTCTGCCCCTGAAGACCATAAGATCCATTAGGCCCAGGATCTATATCCATTTCATTCATCATTTTATCCCCAGCACCTAAAACAGTACCCAGCATGTAGTAACTCTCATGACAGTATCTGATGAACATATATCAGATTTTAAACTTAGCTACATACTCTTAGTGAGCATCACTATTAGATTGTATTGAGATATCATTGACATACAATATGGTATAATTTTAAGGTGTAGAGCATAACAATTTGATGTATGTATATAATAATGCAAAATGACCTTCACAATAAGTCTAATGAACAGCCATCACCTCACGATACAAAATGTTTTCTTGTGATGAGAACTAAGATCGACTGTCTTAGCAACTGTCCAATATACAATACAGTATTGTTAACTATAGTCACCATGGTGTACAATATATTACACTCCCAGAACTTAATAATCTTATAACTGGAAGAATGTACCTTTTGACCATCTTTACCCATTTCCCCACTGGCCTCTGGTAACCACTAATCTGTTTTCTATTTCTATAAGTTGTTTTTTTGTGTTTTTTTTTTGTTAGAGCCCCTACAGATAAGTGACATTATACAGTACTTCTCTTTGCCTGATTTATTTCACTTAGCATAATGTCTTCATGATTTTTTTGTCTAGTTGATGGCCTGTGAATGACTCTAAACATTATTTTCTCCCCTACCTCTAAAGAAACCTAAATATTAAATAATATAATCATATTATAGTTCAACCCACGAATTATCCCACTGAAGATTCTCAGACTCACAAAAGTTAAGTACATGCTTAATAGCTGTACAATTATATAAAGAAGGAGTGAGAATAAAAGCTAGTTTAGACCTGGCCAGTGTAGCTCAGTTGGTTGAAGGGTCGTCCCATACACTGAAAGGTGGTGGGTTTGATTACCAGTCAAGGCATATACCTAGATTATGGGTTCAATTGCAGTCGGGCATGTGTCACAGAAATGTTTCTCTCTCCTCTCTCCTCTCTCCTCTCTCCTCTCTCCTCTTCCCTCCCCTCCCCTCCCCTCTCCTCTCTCTCTCCCTCCCTCCCTCCCTCTCTCTCTCTCTCTCTCTCTCTCTCTCTCTCTCTCTCTCTCTCTCTCTCTCCCCCACCCCCCAAGTTTGAAAAAGGTACTACATATAAATGCACATTGAAATCTACATTATGTTCTCTTTATTGCTCAAAGGCAAAGATGCTGAAAGAAGAAAACATCACAAGGAAACTGATGTCACAGCCAGCCTTACCTCATCATGAGTCAGCTCCAGTGGTTCAATCATATACACAAAGGTATCATCTTCAAACATACCACTGCAGCGCGAGAAACCACACAAGGAGAAAATTAACAATTACAGCAAACAGCAAGAAATAGCAGGGGAGCTGCATATTGCATCTTTAAAAAGAAAGAGTACATCTAAATAAATACCTTTATACTGCCTCAAACCTAAACTACGTATTTGTACAGAATCCCATGGTGGTCCCCACCCTACAGTAGACAGCATCTAGGCTACACAGGGTATGAAAAGTATACACCAAGAGCAGACAAATTATGCATGATATAATTAATTTTTTAATTAAACGGACAGATTAGAAGGTTAATCTGGGATTGGACTGTTCATGCAGTTCCAGGATCGCGAGTTACTTCTCCAGAATAACGCACGACTAGTCCAAATTTCTTGTTATGCAAATCCAATACCATTGGTAAGAAAATAGTCAGGTTCTTCATGTGTAACAATAATCTAAAACCATCTGATTTGGAAGAGCTAAATGAAGGATCTTTACGCTTGCAAATTGTGGATTTCCATTAAGCAGAATGCCTCTGTGCTGAAAATCACATTTAATTTTTGGAGATACAGAAATTTTTATTACATACAGAGATCGGGATTTCAAGATCCTTTTTCTTCACATGAGCACAAACAGATCTTTCCATGGCGTGTTTTGTGTTCGGGTCTAAAGGCAGCTACAGGTGTTTTTTAAAGCCTGCCTGAGAGCCAATGCATGAGCTCCTCTCTTCACAGCCCCCTCACCTGGCTAATGCCTAATTATCCTTAGGTCTGATCCAGCTGATATGTCTTCCAGCATCCATCTCCGGAAAACATTCCTGGATCTGTTAGGTCCCCCTATAAGTCCCTGCCCTTCCCCTTCACAGTACCTACCAAAAAGGCAAATTAAATATCAACCTGTGTAATCTTTTGTTTAATCTAGGAATCTTTAAGTGTTAGGAAAATAGAGACTATGTTTTCCTTGTTCATCATTCTGTATCCAGTCCCCAACCTGGGACTGGTGCAGAAGAGTCACTACAAGACATATCAATGAAAGAAACAGTGGAAAGGATGAATGCATGGCAGCAAGCCCATTCTCCCAATGAGAGCCCCACGTACTGAAGTCCATTGCAGGTCGACAGAGCTGCCCTGGAGTCCTTGACACCTCGGATGCTTCCATGGTAGTAACAGTGCTCTCCACCCTACAACGCAGAAGGTTTGAGAAATTACGCTTTCTGCAGCACGATTTAGTCTTTGGGACATGTCTATAAAGCAAAAACAACTGTGAGGGTGGTCTTAAAACCTCTTCCTGGTTAACATGAAATCTCAAAGAGCGCCAGGCAATTTTTCAACTTTCCTATGACAAGTATGTGCCTATAAAATTTAATGAAGAAGAAAAGGCTTAATGGGAAAAAGAGACCAATGCCACTGATACAACTTATATACCTTTCTTAAGCATGGAAGGGAGTAAATACTTAATGGAAACTGTTTGGAATAAGGTCCTCTACCTAACTGAGGATCCCACTGGTGTTATTTGTAATAATTTCTTATGGAAATTTACATAAAATGTTACCAATTCCTTTCCTACTATTAAAAATTAATTTTTAAAAAAAATTTGGAAATATAAAAATTCGTTTTCAAAATCGAATAATAACTATACGGCCTGCGTATTTTTTTTTTCACTATAGCTATTTCCTTCAGCCCTCTCTCCCCACCTCCACAATAATCATTTTTAACTGCTTCTTCTGCTGTTTACCTATGTATTTCTGAATGGACCATTTTTACTCCCGTGTTCCGATTTCACTTTAGAAATATCTCCCTAATACGGAATCTTAACAACCCTCTTGCTCTCAATACATTCCAATACGCATCACCAGTTTTGGGTTAAACTGATGTTTAGTGTTTCTATTGCAACTATGCAAAAATTGTACATAGTTGTGCCACTGTGATTATATATTCTTTTTGCTCCATTTTAAATTTTTTCAAGAATATTTTCTTTGTTTTCTTGTTTGCTGGTTTTCCCATGTATTTAATAGTTCTACTCTCTAAAATATTATCTACAACTCTCCTCCTATCTTCAAACATATCAGGTAGTAATTTATCACATCCACTTTGTTCCTGGAGACACCCTTACGGTTACCCTTTGACCTCCTACTAGGCCTGATACCTACCTGCCAGCCAGGACTTCTCTGCAGCATCACCCTGGGAACTGCCTTCGCCCACCCCTGCTATATTGATTCCTACACCCCATGTCTTCTCCATCCATTATCTCAACCTCCCCTTTTCTGGAGGCACACATTCTCTGGTACTCTCTTGAAAAAGTGTTTCTGGGAGATAAAGTTGGTGAGAACCTGCACAACTGAAAATTTCTTTTTCTATCTTTAAACTTGAGTGATCATTTGGGTGGGTAGAGAATTCAAGATCAGAGAATACTTTCTCTTGGCATTTTTGCATAGTCTCACAGCTTCTAAGTTCCTGTTGTGAGCTGGATGTAATTTTAATGATAGACATTTTTTATTGTATCTATTTTCCCTTTTCATGAAGACTTTAAGAAATTTTATTTAACCCCATATTCATAAAATCTCATGACAAGCATTGGTGTGGGTCTTTGCTTATCCATTGTGCTGGGCACTCTGTTATACCTTTTAATCAAGAAAATGCATGCACATATATGGAAGTGGTGGTGGGGGCAATGGTAAGATATGTATACATGTAATACCTTAATTAAAAAAAAACAAAAAAGAAAAAAGAAAATGCATGCACTTCAGTTCCAGGAGACTTCTGTTTCTCTGATAATTGCCCCCTTTCCATATTTCTCTAAAAATTGACTTCTGCCAGAGTACAGAAGATATGGCTACCTGGCTGTAACTGGTATGAAGTAGGTCAGGGATTTAAACAGACTCCAGACTATTTAAATCAGGCAGACTTTTCTTTTTTTCCTCTCTCTCTCTCTCTCTTTTTTTTCCCCCAGACAGACTTTTAAGCAACCTTTCTGTAATTCCTGAGCCCTTCTGGGTGAAGAGACATGAGCTAGCTGGCTTCTGGGTTTGCCCAGAAGAACTTGGGAGAGCAGGAAAAGCTCAAACCTCGGACAATTACTCCTCATCCATTTTCTCTCTCATACAATTTTATGGACATCTCTCATCTGCTTGCCCTTTTTATTTCTTAACTGCTATTTGAGTGAGTTATAGAAGGGAATAAACACAAGCGTTGAAGTCACATGGTTAACCAGAAATTTCCTATTTATTTTCTTAAATAGAATATACTGGACATACTTTGACTTTTTATTGATGATTTATAGTCATTCTGATCATGCTTATTATACTGTACTTCAATAGCCTCAGAGCATAATATAAATCTTCAATGTTGGTTGTCTAAATTTGGTATTATAACCCTGTTAATATATTATAAAGGGTTGCTTTTCAGTTCTCATACAACAACCTTGTATATAAATTTTAACTTGTATATAATACCTCAAATTCTATTTGCATATTCAACTCGGGAACTTACAAGGACACTGGTATCACCCATCTCAGCACTTTCAGAATCCGGGTCATGACTCAATAACTAAACTTTAGACTCTTCACATGATTCTAAAAACAGTCACAGGAAACTGCAAAGTCCATCAAACTGGTTACTTAGCACTTCGTATCACACCAAAGGCTATCTTAAATCGGGTGATTATTAGAAATGCATAGCAAAAGCTGTCGTATTTACTTGACCTTTCTAAGAAAAACTATATTTTCCAGATACTCCTAAAAATATTCATTTTCCCCCCAGAAGACATTCCCAAGTTCTGGTTTAGATTTCACTGGCATTGGAAACTGAAGGTTGATGCTCTTTCAGTATAAAGGCCATTGTTACCTGTCTCAATTAAGGCAAGGTACTGTCCGAAGGAAACTGCTTTAGCTCCCTGTATATGTAAACATGGAGCATCATATTTTCCGGACCTCAAACGAGACTTGAGGTAACATCCAATCCCTGATTTTTATCATCACAAAAAAGTGTTACTGTCTAATTATGTACTTATACTAGTTTGGCAGGTTCTAATCCTGTGTGGGTGTTAGAAGTATTAAAGGATTTTCTACATTACTAATTACTAAATATATACCAAGCTTTCAAAAAAGCATTACCAGTGAGATACTATTTGGCAACTCTCTTTGCAGCATCTTGTAAATACCACTGCGAAGGAACATCCCGAGGTATTTCATATTAAATAAATCCCAACTGGAAAGAGGCATTCCCTCCTGGGTAACAGGGTAACAGCAGTGAAGCAGGCAAAGAGGTCACTTCTAGTGGGCTTTATCCACCGTGGCACTGGGCAGTCAGCTCTGGAGTGCCTTCCACACAAGTGCTGGCCATCTTGAACACCCATTATCTTCACAGGAACCACTAACTCCATGTACAGTGAGGGAGACAGTGTTAAAATGCTCTTCCAACGGCAGCAAAAGCCACAGTGAATCCCACCTCTTCAGGCTCTCAGATTAGAAAAGAAGGCCTCCAGCAGCTCCAGAGCGCTGGCCAGTGGATTGGACACCACCGCCTATGAGAGGCCCACGTCTGTGACCAGGCAAACAGGAGGGAGGGGGCCACAAAGGGCTCTTCAGCACAGGACACAAGTCTATGTGGGCCCCGGGGGGCATTTGGGGGTACAAAACAGTTCATTAAATTGAACAAAGTGGAACACCTAATAAGTGAGCATTATTGGCTAGTCAAAGGAACTTAAAAATCCTAGGAGTATGGTTCCAACTTTCTCAGCCTTCCACTGGCACAGAGCTGAGTGCTCCACGGCCAGATGATGCTCTGGTGATGGACACAGCTCCACAGGCTGCCAAGCTAAGGAGTCCCCTGGAAACCACCAGGCCATTCCTGCAAGTACTGAAACCCTGAAGCCATGTGGGTCCTAGGAAACACCTCATAATCAGACGTGGCTGGGGCAGCAACTCTGTGAGCAAAGATTTGGTCCCCAGGTATTATTGATCCAATGAAGGAATGGGTGTTTTGTGTTTTGTTTTGTTTTTATTCTACTCACTTTAAATACAACCTTTCGGAAAACGAAGCCAATTGCTTCAATTTACTTTACTCTAAAATGGCCCCACCTTGATATCTATTTAATGACCTCATCTGCTTCAGCCAAGTTCTATCGCCCAGTTCATACCATCTTCCTTAAGAAACTCTCATAAACTCAGCCGTTCATGGTGACCAAGCTCTGATTTTGGTCAATCCACTCCTGAATAATGTGAATAAATGTTTGAAAAGAAACTGCATAGGCCTCAGTTCCTATTTGATATTCCAGGCTTTATTTCTAAATATAACAATATATTCACTATTCTATATGCATATCTTTAAACTCCTCAGACTTATCAACCAGCAGGGTGTATCAATCCTATTTAATAAATCAGTGGGCTGGTAAGCAAAAGAGAAAAAAAATATCTATAATTGGGCACATATATCTGAATTTGAGCTTGGCAGAATAAGAAAATGAAAAAACATTTTAGAGAATCAGAGAACTTGTGACCGTAACACCAGTTTAATTATTTACTTTCATTAAACTGAAAGGGGGGTAGGGGGAAGTGGGCAGTGATGTTCAAGTATGAAAACAGTTTGGCTGTACCAATGCCATATAAATTTTTAATAGTTCACACAAAATTGTACCATTCAAACTTAAAATAGCTTTGTGAGGAGCCAGTACTGTCTGCTTTCTTGATTTCATGGGGATTTTTTCTTAATTTTCAGATCTGCCCTGAGCCACGCCAACTGAGGCCCAGTCCCTCTGACAACCCCTGCCCGGAAGTCTTCGGGAAAGAAGGGAACTTGAGCTGTGCCACAGTAGAGATTTGATAAGGAAAGCACACAGAAACACTGTAGGAGGGTAATGTGATTACAGTGATAAAAAAAAAAAAGAAAGGAGACAAAGATTTGTATCTATTTGATTCACTGACATATACCCAGCACCTGGAACCTAATAAATAAGAATGGTTTATTCATGAGCCTAAGTGGCAAAACCAATCTTAAAGGAGCAGAAGATGGATGTTTGTTGAGAAGAGAGGTGAATAAACCACCATTCCCCTACTTGAGGCTTTTTTCCTTTGAGATATAACTGACACACCATAAAATTCCCCCTTTAAAAGAGTACACTTCAGTGGTTTTCAGTATATTCAGAGGGTTGTGAAACCATCACCACTGTCTAAGTCCAGGATATTTTCATCACCTCACAAAGGAAATCCTGGACCAGCAGTCATTCCCCATTCCTCCTTTGTACCACCCAATAAGGTCAAGGGAAGTAGGGGTGGGAGCACCCGCAAGCCCTTGGCAACCACTAATCTACTTTTGATCTCTATGGATTTGCCTATTCTGGATATTTCAAATGAATGCAATCATATAACATGTGGTCCTAAGTGACATCTTTCACTTAGCATACTGTGGCATGAATCAGTACTTCATTGTTTTGTATGTCTGAATAATATTTCTTTGTGTGAATATACCACATTTAGTTCATATACTGGTCAACTGATGAACATTTGGGTTGTTTCCAATTTTCTGTGATTATAAATAATGCTGCCATATATATATATATATATATATATATATATATATATATATATATATATATATATCCATTTACAAGTTTTTGCTTGGACATATGTTTTCAATTCACTTGGATTTGGGTTTAGAACTGCTGGGTCATAAGGTAACTCTAGGATTAACATTTTGAGGAACTGTCAAACTATTTTCCAAAGCAGCTCCACCATTTTACATTCCTACCAGCAGTGTAGGAGGGTTCCAGTTCTCCATTCTTGCCAACACTGGTTATTGTCCATCTTTTTCATTATAGTCATCCTAAAGGATGTGAAGTGGTACCCAATGAAGTTTAGAACCAAATAAGAGTGACACAGGACTGAAACAGATAAAAAATATGTCACCTTCATTTTTGATAGCACCACACTGGAGGAGACGATTCACCAAGAATCCAATAGGCGTGTTAATGCTACACCCCGAGTTAGCCAGACTTACCCACCCAGGCACAGACAACATGGGGAAACCAACCCTTCACACCTCCCCTCCTCCCACAAGCACACCAGGCGGCCACTGTACAACTAAGAGCATGGAAAAGTTACAAAGAAGGTGCTCTTCCTGTAGGGAGATGATATCACACAAAAAAAGAGAGGAAGGGATTACACAGTCATGCCCAACCCCTTCCCACCAGCTAGGTCGCTCTTCTGACCCTGGGCAGGAGTGAGCAAGGGAGCAGGAAGAAGTCAGAATGAGAAAAATAGAGCAAGCAAAGGACAATTTCCCTACCCAATAAGGGTTGGAGCACTGCAACTCCCTATCCCATCTTACCCTGCTGGCCAGGTGGTAGCTCTTTTTATAAGCAGAAGAGAAATCAAAGTATTAGCAAGCACTTAGAGCAAATGGTTCATCTTAAAGGGGTTTAATAGAAATGTGCTACATTTAAAATATTCTTTGATACTGTCATATGGATGTCTAATTCTTTTATAAGGACAAAAATACTAACAATTAACTTACTTTTAGTTGGTTCATAATGAAGTTGATCAACAAGTCAACAACACTGCTTTATTGTATATTGTGTGCAAAGCACAATGCTAGAAACTCCAACAAAAGCTAATTTTGTGTCGGGTGCAGAACTAACGTCTCTCCTATGTACTTACTGACGACCTGGCACCGAGGCTATGTTACCTACTTTGGTGGTTGACCTCTCCAGTGCCTATATTTTCTTCACAAGGAAAGGTCTTTTCATCCAGAAAAAGTAAAGGCCTAAGACATGAGCCCCTTCTAGCTGGGAGTGGGAACTAGGCAGGAGCCAGGCGATGATGAAGTAGGAAAACCTAGACAAGCTTCACAAAGTATGGATTCATCACTTTGTTTCCAATTAATTCCCAGAATATTTTAAATGTCCACATTTATATTTAACTCCAAAGCCAACAGGCTACTTGTGAATCTGTTTCTCTCTAATTATGTGAATCATAGTGTATGTGTGTGTGTGCGTGCATCTGTGTGTGTGTGTGTTTGTGTGTATGTGTGTATTGTGTATATTAACATTTGTCTAAAGAGTTTTGAGATCTTTGGAAGAATGTTTGCACAAAGCAGGTTTATTTAACCCAGCCAATCTTATATGTTAACTTCTGGTACTCTGTTTAAGATTTTCTTAATCAACATGAAATGCAATGTGAAGTTTTTAAAACAATGTTTTTAAAAATATGTATGTAATAGTGGTGGGAATGAGAATTTATATAAACTTTGAGAAAGAAAAGTTCAATATGTACCAAAAGCCTTAAAATAATATGCCCATCTTGACCCAGAAAAATCCCATTATCAGAATTAATCCTTTAAGCAATGATAAAAAATGTGTTCAAATATGTCTGAAAAGCCTTTCTTTAGATTAGAAACAATCTAAATATCTGCTAATTTGTGATTTTTAAACAAATTATAGCAAAATAAATAGGAAAGAATATAATGTATTTTTTTAAATAAAAGTTTAGGAGATTATTTAATGTACACTAAAATACTTACAATGTTGTTAGTTTAAAAAAAATCCTGCTAAAGATATTTAAGGGGCATATCATTTAAGTTTGGGGAAAGAGGTTTATATATAACAGATACAGACATAAAAACAGACGGTTACCATTAATTCATCATATATGAAGCAAGTTTGGGTATATGAGCTGTCTGAAGAAAATGGATCATAAGCCAAAGCTGGTTTGGCTCAGTGGTAGAGCGTCGGCCTGCGGACTGAAGGGTCCCAGGTTCGATTCCGATCAAGGGCATGTACATTGGTTGCGGGCACATCCCCGGTGGGGGGTGTGCAAGAGGCAGCTGGTTGATGTTTCCCTCTCATCGACGTTTCTAAGCTCTCTATCTCTCTCCCTTCCTCTCTGTAAAAAAATCAATAAAATAAAAAATATATTAAAAAAAAGGAAAATGGATCATAAATAAGAGAAAAGCAATGAGCACAAATACAAACTGCAATGAACTCATATTTGGCCAGCATTGAACTACCCTTTGTTTTAAATTTTAGTGTCAACTGACACAAGATTTAGAGTGTCTCACTAATGATAAGATCTCCTCTGAGGACCTCCAATGACCTCTGGATGCCATTAGCTATTCTGCTTCTAATATATATATATATATATATATATATATATATATATATACACACACACACACACACACACACACACACACACACACACTTCTTAGTGATTAGTTTAGGTCAGGTCACTGCAGCCTGCAAAGGTGGCTTGTTTGCTGAGTCTATAAAGTTCTCTGCAATCTCTACTCAACACTCATGACTCAGCATCCGCAGTGCTCCCAGCCCTGGCATGAGGACAGAGCTGTGGTTTGTCCAAGTGCCAGGAAGCACCATTGCCTTGCTTGATTTAGCATTTCTGCTCACTTTCCACAGCATTAACTTTTAGGGAGACTAAAACACCCCTTCCCCCCCTCCCCAAATGCAGCCTCAGGCAAGATCTGACGGACCAGTAAAAATAACATATGGACGTCCTTAATCTGTGGCAGAAAATTTCACAGGTTTAGAACACACATCAAATCACAACTGTGCCCACTGTGGATGGGACAGTGATAAATGCTGAGTAATGCCATGTCCCCCAGGGCAGTATTAACAAGTAACTCTTTGTTGCCAGGCTATCAGAATGACAAACCCAGGTCTCTGTGCTGCACAACCCAGCAAACCCACACATGAAAGGTCCACTTTTCTGCCAATACTCTAGCAATTTAGAAAAGAAAAAAAAAAAAAAGAATCCAGTGACTGTCCCCACTTTGGTTTGTTTCCCTCTGTGTCCTCTCTCGTGCCTGTGGTATCTGTGGACACTGCTTCGGCTCAATGGCATTCTGTGGACTTTCTGCAGATCTGAGTCTGGACAGAGCCATTCCACTGGCAGAAATCACCGTTCCTTCCCTACAAATAATCCACCTCTGATTTTCATCTAAACCCACGTGCTCCTTATTGAAGGGAACAAAAGTTAGCCTCCCACTGAAGGAAATCAAGCACCCAATTACCTTTCTGTTACAATGCTTGCTGGCAGGCTTATTTGCCTTCTCTCTACCTTCATTTCTTCCTTTGCACAACAGGAATAATAATATCCGCCTCAAATAATTGTTGTGGAGATGAAGAGGGAGAATGCTCCCTAAATCTTCCTTCCCCTACCCATCCTCTGGCCTTCTGGGCACTAAAGTCACTTGGATTAAACATTCATTCTAATGACCCACCCAGTCTTGCCATTCAGTTTCTATGACCATAGCCTGGTTATCTACTAATTTAAAAATGCTGATATGGAACTGGGAAGCTCTTTTTACCATTCACTTACATAAAATACTGTACGTGTAACCAAAACAAACGTTTCTTTACTGGCCTAAATATACTGAATTTCTACTGATATCTTCAACCCTTGGAAGTTTTGTTAAATTCCTTCTAAATGTACTTTAAAGTTAAAACGTAAAAATTTTGGGGCCATTGTATAAGAAGACAGATACTTTTACTGAGCTAGCCATCAAAACAATGCAGTGTGCCTTGACCAGGCCTATGACTAAGTCTATTTCTACTACAGGACTTCATACACGGTTACCGTACCTTAGAGTACTGCGGCTTCCCATTCTCATAGTGAATCTCCACGTAATCAGAAGACAGCAGGCCACTACAAAGGAAGGACGAGAGAGTGAGTTCTGCGTCTAAGATTTTTGGAGGTTTAAAAATAATCAGCTCAGTAAACAGATATGAGGGGCATGTACACCACAGACAAGTAGCTACAGTCCAGAGAACAAAAAAGGTCATTGTCAAGTCTCAAGGTTATCCAGCAACAAATCCTCCCTCAGTCTGTTTAAAAACACAAGACAGAGGTATTTAAGGGAAGCTTCTTTTATACACACTATCCATCATTTGATTGATATGTCAATTAAAATAGAACAAACAAAGAAGGCAGGGAACAGGAGGCGTTAGGCCCTGTAAAATCCCACTAGCATGCTCTAATAATTAGAAACTCATAAAACATAATCTCCGAGGAGGAGGATAGAATCAAGGCCGGGTAGTAGGTTGCTCAGGCCACACGATCCCTATTACAACTATTCAACTCTGCTGTTGCATCACAGAGCCAGCCACAGACAACATGCAAATAAAAGAACACTGCTATGTTCCCGTACAGCTCATTTATGGCCACTGAAACATGAATTTCACGTAATTTTCACACAAGGTGAACTATTCTTCTTTATTTTTGGTCAGTCATTTGATATTGTTAAAAAACATTCTCAGTCCAGGATTGTACAAAACTAGATAGAACTGGATTTGGTCCAAGGGCCATAATTTGCCAACTCATAGTTATGTATATAGATTTTGAAGTCAGACAAAGTAGGACTTAAAGTCTAGCCCAGCCCCTTAATCATGGTGTGACTAAGGACAAGTTACCTATCTGCCTTTATGGGAGTCAAATGAAGAAGAGAAAGATTGTGAATCTCACAGGACACTGTGAGGACTCAACGAAAACGCATATGCAGTGCTTAGCCCAGAACTCAGCACAGAACACGCGCTCAGCAATGGCATTGAGGCTGTCACTGTTGGTTTTAATTCAACTTCTTCGAACATGTTTCTCTGTATACAATGTGGGACATGCAAAATATGAAAGCACACTGGGATGCTTTAGGGCATTTGGATTCTCGTTTGAATTCTTCTACTAGAAGTAATAACAAGTGATAACTCGAGTTTACTGAACACTTACTATGTCCTAGGTACTGTGTATTAACTCATACAGTCCTAAGGGTAACTGAAGGATAACAGTAGTTCTGCTAAGAGCTGGATGTGTGTCTTAAATGTAGGCCTCCATTTCCTCTTCTGCAAAAGGAGGGACTGGAGCAGAAGAAACCTCGGGTCCCTTCCTGCTCGGACAGTCTATTTTCTGTGATTCTACCTAACTGTAGGTTTTCTTTTTAGGAACTCTTGACACTACTCCTTTAACCAACATATGATAGGACTCAATGATTTTGCAGTTCTAAAATGAGCCAATGAGGAGGCTGGAGGAGGGTCAGAGCCAGTCAGCAGAGTTCATGGGAGTCGCCCTGCGCATCTGGCATGGTTTCCTACATGAGCCAAAGGGCAGCCTTCCCAACACAGAAATAAAGCACATGCCTGTGCCCTGGACAGGTTTTTGGTTTTTTTTAATGGAATTACTAATTAAATGTGTGTACCTCTTGATGATTCTACATGGCACATACTCACTCCCTTTTAAAATCTAAATAATCATCAAAAATAACAATTCTTCACTCTATATCCTTGGGAATACCTTTCATATCTAGCTAATGAAGTCAGCTAGCAGCGCCAGGAATATACATAAACAGGGCTGTTGATAAGAACATTTCTCTGAGGAGCACTTCCTGTCTTGCCAGGAGACAGAGAGGTTGCGCTAACTGCATTCTAATTACCTCTCTCTACAGGTAATTCATTATTTTCAAAATTCTCAACCACACAGCCACTGGAGCATGTCTAAGGGTGGCAAATAAAAGTTCCTTGAGACTGCTACTTTTGCTTGTAATTACAAAGGCAGATGGCTTTCTAACCATTAACTGCCACATCTGAAAAAGGTCACTTTAATTATTCTATTTTTCCATTTTCAAGGGCCTCACCCTCCACCCCATGACCCAAGCGACACACTTCTTTCTAGTATTGACTGCTCTGGGGAATATTAAAGAAGAAAAACAGCTCCTTTTCTAGGAGCCTGTGACAGACACTGAGATGGACATCAAAGGACACCATACGCTCCCATGACCCGTTACTCCACCTTTCCACCTCCTACAAATAGCACACATCCCCATTTGCTCCATCCTTTCCTCCTGGCTGACCAGTTATCCTTCCCTTGAAACTTTCTTTCACTCATTGCAGCATCCTTAGCACTTGTATGATGCCTAGCACACAGCAACCCTAATCAACATTTGCTGTGTGAGCTAACACCAACCAACATCTACAAGACGTCAGGACCATACCATGAAGGGTGAGCGGCTTCTAGTGTTTTGGAAAATAACTTGGATCCTTTGCTCTAAAGAATGAAACACGTGCTTTCTTTTCGGTAACCTTGTCGTGAGAGCTGGTGAGTGGGATAATCAAGCATGTTGTTCAGAATGAGACAGCATAGGTAACGGGGCCTGAGGCGATGAGGAAGTCTCCTAGGAAAGATGGGCACTGGGCTCCTGGTGAACCACCTGTTCTCCATGAGCGAAAATTCACTCAATTTGCTGCAGCACATAGTGGAACTACCAGTCTCTAGAACGTCCAGTTCTGAAATGAGCAGGTTGAGCCCTCTGGCTGTATCTCTGATGAGTTAGTTCAGGTGTCTTCAAACTGCGGCCCGCAGGCCACATGCGGCCCACCAGGTGTTTTGGGCAGTGAGTGCAGCCGAGGTGTTACAGTAGGAATTAGTAGTTCATATAGTCCGGCCCTCCAGCTCTCTGAGGGACCGTGATCTGGCCCCCACTTTAAAAAGTTTGAGGACCCCTGAGTTAGTTCATGGAGTGGATTGCTGGGGGCATAACCAACTCTTTTGAAGGGACCTAGAAGCCAGCAGAGTGGGCTTTCCCTCACCAGCAGAGCTAAGGAAAACCTAGGAGAAGAGTACCAAGCACCACGGCTTAACAACTGGGTGCTCCATCATGTATCCAAAGCAGGCCATTTCTGGGAGGCAAAAAGAGGTGTATTAATAATTATGCCAGGACAACAGACATACATCAGGAAGGACTGTTTTGGTTACATAAAGGTCAAATGTAAGGTACACACATTGAGTTCTACCTGAGAGCTGTCAGGCGTGTCTATGGGTAAAAAACACTCTCAAGGTGAGATGCTACTAAGCAAGCAGTGTGAGTGTGTCTTCTCTGCCAGTTGTTTTGGGTTCTGTCGTTGCTTTACATGCCATTGTTTTATAGCAGTCTTGAGTGGGCACCTCGGTTTCTCTTTCTCAGCACCTAATATTAGCAGGTAGCTATTGGGAGAGGAGTGAGCAGTGGAAGGTGTGGAAGCTGGGAAGCTGGGAGTCCACGGTCACTTGCAGCCTGGACTTGTCAGGTCTTGACTCACCATGCAGTGCGACACAATGCCTTTGTTCTGAAGTGGGCAGTAGCACAGATACCCTAATTCCAGTCTCCTGGGTGAAACACAAATCAGTTTCCATATGTGTTCAAACTGGAATTGGGACAGAAGTCAATATTTATGTGAACAAAGAATGAAAAATTATGTGTAGAAAGAAAGGAATGCCGCTAATATCCATTTTCATAATGCTCTCACATGATTATCCTCTAACAGTGTTTAAATTCTCAGTATTGGGAACCCTGATCATCCCAAATGGCCCTTAACAGATTCACCCAAGAAGTCTGCTGCCACCCTCCCCACCAGGTCTCACATTTGTATTTAATGACAATAAATGCTGGTCATTGTGGATATTCTCAGCTTCATGGAGCTTCAAGCATCAGAGCATTGTACAAGGAAGCACCATGCCTGCTCCCTCATTTACCCTACAGGCTTCTCTCTTTTTCTTTTATTAAACATAAGTATTTTTAATTTATCCAATACTATAAACTGCAATGAAAAGAGACACAGAATTTAAACTTGGCACATTCATACACACATAAGAATGTAACCTTACAATAATCCTTCTGCCCTTCCATTGCTTCTTCTTTTGAAAACAATAGACTTAAAAGTAAAATGATTTTTCAGTCACTTTTCTCAGGTTTTAAGTTTGATTTCATCCCACCTAAAAACATTTTTACACCAAAAGTTGTTTCAACTAGAAGTTATGTACTCCTTTGGATACAATACAGTAAGACTTTTAAGCTGTGTTAAACTATTGTAGGTATGGAAAGGTTGGGACTTAAGGGTGTAAAAATATGTTAAGTGGATGCAAGTAATTATCGGTTGAATTGAGGCTTTGCATTAGGTCAAACAAAGGTGGCCTGCCAGGCCTGGGCTGGGGAATGTGGGCAGACCTCATAGGCACAGAGCTGCAGGTGGAGAGCATGCCTAGTACAAGCAGGATGGAGGTGTCGGGGTGTAAGCTTGTTGAAGGGTCACAGCAGGAATTTAATGAGTTCCTAAACCACATAAGAGGTTGCAGCAGAATTTTAATGAGTAGGCACTCCTGCATCTCAAAGGTAATGGTTCCATGCACCATAATACAGTTAAGAACACCCTAGTATATTAAAAATGGGAAACAAATGCAGGCTGCAAGTTACTAGAAAGGGAAGTAGAGAAAGAAGATGTTAGGAGGGAGAAATGGGACAAACTTGAGGCGCTATAACAGCTGAGCACCCTGACTCAAGCTGGCTTGATTTGCCAATTCAGAATTCCCTTCTGAGAAGCCAGCACCAATAGAAACACTTCTAATTAAATAAAACAGAAAGATGTTCAATTCCTCTTCTCCGACTTTTAACTTAGAACACATGACTGCCAGTATCTCTGGAAGTGGACCAGTAATTTTGAAATTCCTCTATGATACAATTATAGTTATTCTCACATGTGTGGTTTTACAACCCCATATGTCATGAAACAAAAAATTTTAAACACAAAGAAAACTGCATCCAAATAAAGGTGACATCTTTTTCGAACACAGTTACACATAAATGAAATGCTTTAACAATTTTCAAATAATGAATATTAGAGTTTGTC